CGTAAATAGATGCGCGGATGTGGGTTAGCTAAATATACAATTGCGTGCAAACAAAAGCGCGTCCCGATCAATAAAAGTAGTATGCTTAAACTGTACAGTCGGCGTGCAAGTTGCAAAGGACCTTGGCAGCACGAGGATCGATCGTCTTTCCTCAGCGAGTATTTTCGAAAAAGAGACGGCGTCCGATTTCCGCTGATCTTCCCGTAAGAAAAACGGCTCGAAAAAGTGCGAGATGCTTCACGAAACAACGCGTGTCTCTCGTCGCTAGTACGGGAGAAATTTTACAGAAGAATTTGCCGTTGAATCTTGCAGCCGAGGAACAAATGGAAATTCTGCCTCAAGTTATTGTTTTTGTCCTTTACGTGAAAAAAACTGAAAAGTCCACTATTAAACAATTTTCCTTCCCTGTGCTATTTATATGAAAAAAAAAAAAAAAAAACTGAAAAGTCCACTATTAAAAAATTTTCCTTCCCTGTGTTGTTTATATGAAAAAAAAAACCTGAAAAATCCACTATTAAAAAATGTTATGCGTTCCTTAGCGATATAAACTCCTTACTGGCGATTAATTCCCGCACATTATTAGAGAATACGATAAAATCATGCGAAAATAATTCATGTTTGAGAAAGTCGTTGAGTATATTCTTTTCTCCGTATACAGGAGACAGAATATGGTTTACCGTTCGGCAGTTTTCCGACAGGCTGATTAAAGTTAGGTTAGACCAGCTCACGGGTTAAGCTTCGCGAAAATGAGAGAAAAACCTCTCTCTCTCGGGTATAGAATTACGTAGCGCGATCTAAAGAACATTATCGAAGGGACGATTTCCTTCTCACTCGATGTCGCGCTAATTAATGATTGTCAAGCGTAACTCTTTTGCTGGGCGAAGTGATACAAGCGCGCCGAGCTGTTCGCGCGAGATTGATCGAATCTTGAATGGCGGGTCTCTCGGGAGAATCGAAGAAAATCAAGCTTACCTTGGCGTCGAAGGCCTCGACGGGGGTCCGTTGCACGCCGTTCATCTTCCGGCGAAGTCACTGCTCTTGCTACTCGATGGATTCGCCGCGGCTCGTCGTTCACTCACAGTCTCGTTCACTCAACCCGCACAAAACACACGCCCGGCCGTGAGGTTCGACGATTCTTGCTGGAGGCGCGTCGGTCACTTATCATTTCACAATCGGCAGTCCGCGTCCTGGACGGCGACTGGGCGTCACCGTCTCGATCTTCGTCGCTTCGCCAACTTAAGAAGCTCGCTCGGATCATGCACGAATGAGCATTCAGGATCTACCGTCGCCGCCGCGCCGAGAGCGTCGCAAATCAGCTGATAGTAACTCGACCAACTTCACGAGATTTCGCTATCGGTCGCTCTCGCCGAACTTCTTGCCAAACGATTCGAACATTTTCCCTCCAACGCGTTTTAAACCGCACACTCGCGCATTCAGTGGGGAAATTTTTTTTCTGAGAATTACTCAAGGAAATTCCGCCACACACGTCGAGGAAAAGTTGTTCAAACCGTTTTGCAAACGAGCGCGAGAACCGGCGACTTTGGAATGCATAGACGTAGCACAACAACCCGACAGAACAATTTAAACGCGTACAGTGCGATTGGGTTATTAGGACTTTTTATCCCACGCTTGACTGGGCTTATCGTTTATCGTTTATTCGACGAGGCGGGAGGAATAAATCAAAGTAGCAATCTGTCACTGAGGTAGCTTTTCGTTAGTGTTCGGGAATGAATGTGTGCAATCACAAAATACCAATGACTAATAATTATACTGCTAAGTATTGAAGCTATTATGTCATTCTCTATAGCGTCAATTTGCGACATGGGAAAAGTAAAGGTATATCGGCTCATTCGGCTCATGTGTATTTGCTTAACATAAAGCTTACAACACATACCAGCTCATACCAATAGCTCGAGACTTATCCCTCACGTGAGATATTCAGATTTGAATTCAAAATTCCCGAGATCCGAGTCGACCAAATCATATAATATACGCGAAAAATTATATCTACATTTTATAATCGCGATTTAACTGAAAAGTATCTAACCTTACGTTCAAATCTCACTTGGGACAAGTCTCGACTAACAGTTAGCACGAATCATGCAACTTCACAACATATCGACGAAGAAACGCTACTTCAGGTCGTTGCGAACGTCGCACAGTTCCAGGACGAGCTGGTGTCACAGGCTGACTCGAAGCAGCGACGAAAGCGGCACTCGAAGCCGTAACCTTCCCCTTACCGCAAATTAGACCTTGCCCTCGTAGAACGCTTCGTCTAGATATTCGTACGTCGATGGTGCAAGCACTCAGGATCTATCACCGCTAGCGGGAGAAGACGCGCCGGGCGCATCGGCGGACAGTAACTCGGCTAACTTCACGAAGTAACAGTATCGGCTGCTGTCAATCGGATTGGATTCCGCGGAGCCGTCGCGCTCGCGAGTCAGCGCAGCGGAGAGGCGAGAAGAACGGCTCGCGTCGGTTCGAGCGATTCCGTCGAGACGCGCGGAACAACTCTCGCGCGGTCGTTCCCTCGCGAAGAAAAGACACCGCGCGCGCGGCTTCGGCGAGAACGCGCGTCGCTGTCTGCTGCGGGACAGACGCGAGATTTGATTTGAAACGCGGCGTGTCGATTTGCCGGGCCGGCGCATGCGCGCTCGCGCGCACTGCTCGTGACCACGTGCTGTCTCCGGCGCGCGTTTGTTTTTGCCGCCGCCGTAAACACTTTGGTAATTAGGCTGGTAAAAGCGCGTAAACGAGAGGGACAAGAAGCTGCGTGCCGAAATATATACTGACAGCGCTAATAATAAACAGCACTGTTCTCGCATTCAGATTAGGGTTGCCAGATGGCCAGGATTTTCGGGATTGTTCCGGAATTTTTAAGCTTGAGTGTCCCGGAATTTAAGTCTTCTGTCCCGGAAAATCAGAATTTCAGCAAAATTATAATCATAACATTCATGTTTTTAACTGGTACCAGAGAAAAATTTGAGATCAATCACCGCAATTTATAAGGTCAAAAAATTTGACGCGCCATCTGAGAAATGAATGTCCTCTTGCGTAGTAAAAGAAAAAGGAAGAAGAAATTCAATCGCACAGTTTATGTTTACACTTAATTACGTATTTATGCGTAAGCCTAATTTACGTATTTATTTACGTATTATTGTTGCAAGTACACAGCGACATCTCTTAACCATCTTGCTCTTCTGTCTCTTAAATTTAACAAAAATCCTTTAAGAACCTATTTTTCAACCTTCGCCTGAAAAATGTCGCGGAAATAATCAATCTGCATCTGGCAACCCTAGTTCCGATGTAGTTTTCAATACGCTGCGAGATGGTGTAGAAAACTTACTGCCTTTCACGAAAATAGATTCTAGGGAGTTACCGACTTCCAGCTAATTCCACACGTTCGGTAATGCATATGGCGTTTGATTTATGTTGAACTTGTATAAGTAAAAAGTGTAAAAGATGCGATCGGTAATACACACGGACATATCGACGGGAGCGAAGATAAAGTTGCGAAATATTTTCTTCACCGCCTGTGATGATGAGCTTTGAAAGTTATCTTCGGTAAAATTGGCGATATTTTGTGCAGCGAGGAAAGCTGCTGTCGAGTTGGCCTAATCGTTCCAAATTTACTTTCGGTCTTTACATTCAGATGAGTTGTACCACCCTGCTAATCGCTGCACGCGACACTGCGAATGCATCCCGTTTTCCACGCGGCTCTCATTAGCAATACTGTCAGCACTATTTCGGAACGCAGCCAAAATAACGCGCGGTGTATCCCCCGCCGTTACCGTTCATACGCTTTTTTTCCCCGAGGTAAATATATCGTCCGTGGGTAAACTGCGACGAATGGATTGGGAAGCAGCTGTTAATGGGCCGAGAGAGAGAGAGAGAGAGAGAGAGAGAGAGAGAGAGAGAGAAAGAGAGAGAGAGAGAGAGAGAAAAAGTTCGACACACATCGAACGCCGTGTAACTGAAAGACGCCGACAGCTCGACCGACAAGACACGCGCGATACAAAGACTTTTCTTTCTCAGATGACTTAACGAGCCGCGAATGGCGAATTAATTAACACGAAATGGCGCAAAAACGACGGCAATTTGGGGGAAAAATCGCGTGGCTTCTGGGGAAGGTCTTCGTGAAATCAGCTCAGCACGCTCGACGCTTCGATAGCGTTTTTAAGCGTCTGCCCGTTGCGGCGAGTTTGCATCGTGAATCGCTCTGGGAGGCGATCAATGACGTCATAGGCTTTGTCTAAGCTATCACAGAGCTTATAGCGTCGTTAATCGTTGCCGAAGAGCGACCCAGGCCCGTTTCGCTCGAAGAAGTTACAAGACTCGTACGCAACCGTTTTCTGCCGATTACACGGTAAATAATTAACCGCGTAACCTTGTATTAACATAACTGAACGTTTCCACGCGAAAGGCGATGTTCAACACTGCCTCGCAAATTCCCTCCGGCTAAATAATCAGCTAAAAGCCCGATGCGAAGAGACCGTCCAGAAAAGGAATAGCCGAACGCGCGATATTTCGTTGATGCAGCGACAATGTTCTACCGCGCACTTGGCACTGCACTTTTTCCTTTCGCTACCAAGGACACTTTTTCAATTTGTAAACGTAAACATCTACGATCTCTGTCAGTCTGCAACGTCGCCGTCAACAATTTGTAGAACATTGAATTCCGAACAAACTTGCAAGCTCGAGTTCCATTCATCACTTTATTGCCACATTTTTCTCCGCAGTATGGTTTAACAATAACAACAGCAACAATAACAACAAAAATGATAATAATAATATTGGGTTGTTAAATATGAAATGTCCGATTTCCTTAAGTACTAAGTTCGATAGTCGATATCTTTGACATTTCACTCTTACAGTTTTTGGTTTTTTCTCTTTTCAAAATTTTTTTCGTGAAGATACATCATCATTCTTTCAAACGCATGTTTTGGTTTGTGATTTTTTAGCTTTCGAGTTGTCTTTATTACAGCAATTTTTGTATAACCATGGATAAGTCAAAAGTTCGTGTTATTTTCGAATATGAGTTCCGTCGTGGAACCAATGCAACGCAGGCAACTCGAAATATCAACGAAATGTTTGATGAAGATGTGGCTAATGAACACACAGTACGTCGATGGTTTGACAAGTTTCATTCTAGCGATTTTAGTCTGGAAAATGAACCACCTGGGCGACCCGAGACCAAGGTGGATAATGATGAGCTGAAGGCTGAAGTAGTGGAAGCGGATACATCTCAAACTACACGTGAATTAGCAGCAAGGTTTAACGTTAATATTCCAACAATTTTTGATCATTTAAAACAAATCGACAAGGTAAAGAAACTGGATAGATGGCATCCGCATAAATTAAACGAGCGTCAGAAGAGAAATCGTCTCGAAGTTTGCCTTTCTTTACTATCACGACACAAAGGCGATTTTTACATTATATTGTTACATACGATGAAAAATGGATTCTTTTCCACAGTCGCAAGTGTTCAGCATAATGGTTGGATATAGATGAAGTATCGAAACACAGTCTGAAACCGAATATTCACAAAAGAAAGCTAATGGCGTCTGTTTGATGGTCAAGCACTGGTATTATCCACTACAGCTTCATGAAACCTGGTCAATCGATTACAGCGAATGTCTACTACAACCAACTGGACGAAATGATGAGGATGCTTGCGATTAAGCAGCCGAGATTGGTCAATGGAGACAGGCCAATCCTCTTGCAAGACAACGCTCGACCACATGTCGCGCAAACAACGTTGCTCAAACTACAGGAGCTGGACTTGGAGATTCTCTGTCACCCACCGTATTCGCCATACCTTGCACCAACTGACTACCACTTCGTCCAGGCACTGGACCACTACTTGCAAGGAAAAATATTCAATTCTCAACAAGCTGTGGAAAACATCTTCCGCGATTTCACCGCGTCGCCCACTCTTCAGGCTTCTTCGCTGATGGCATAAATAAGCTACCGTTAAGATGGCAGAGCTGTGTCGATATAGTTTAGGCGCATACTTTGATTAATTATACTATTTCTAGTTTGAGATATAATAAACCAAACTTTTGATTCGAAGTCGGACATTTTTCACACTTAATGACTTAACAATAATAACAGAATCACCATTAATTTCTACACTTTTTAATGTTATACAATCGCTCGAACGTATATACTTTTGTAATCTCCGCCACAAGTAGAAATGAGAGAGTACAAGAACAATACAATGTAGCACATGATAGTGTGACAAAATGCGTTTGCCAAGATTCCTTCAAAGATAAAGTCATCGGCATTTCTTCACCGGCGTCTCATGCTTACGAAAACAAAAAACCTCGATCGCGCGCGGAGCGCCCATAAATCGCGGTGTAATTCATTCGCGAACGCGAAGGGACTTCGCGGGGAGAACTCTCGAGAGGAGAGGCTCTCCTCGACGCGAGGAACTTTCAGGAGGAAACGCGCTCGAACGTCGACTGCTCGAAAACCCGTCGATGTATCCGATGTCTGAGGGGGAGTACAAAACAGGTTTAAGAACGCTGCGGCTGACCGAACTTCACATCCGTTCTACCGGCCGAGATGTCGGAAACGGCGCTTTATTCAATTCCAATATTCGTCTCCTCCTCTCGGGGACGCGGCGGCCGAGACTCTCGTCATTTCGACGGCCGCGCGATTCCGACGCTGCGAAAGCGCAAAGCAGAACGATTTCGAATTTTGCCCACGATATCGATCACGACACGGTTCGCATTTTTGCGACTCGTCGCGAGAGCAATTTGGCACTTTATCAGCGTCGCGATATCGATGTCGTAGATCAGCGATAACGAAATCTGTTACAGATAAAGCGCAGACGATCCGCACGAGGCGATTTTCGTGAACAAACGGAGCGGAAGAGAGAGAGAGAGAGAGAGAGAGAGAGAGAGAGAAAGGAAAATCTCGCTTCTCGCGTGACTCTCGATACGCGAGTGCGGAAACGCAAACGCGCCGCGATTGAAATGATACATACCGGTTTCGATTCCTACTTTCCGACGCGTACACAACTATCATGCGTGACGATTACCTCGCATGCCCCGCGCGGCGCTGCGCATTGTGAAAATAATCGTATAGAATTATAGAAAGGACAGTGTCTCGCCACACGAGAGAGGATATCATCAGCGGCCGAGACACCTGAAACGCAGCTCTCGCAAGAGACAGCACCGTATTATCGGAGTATTCGTCGATAGAAAAACGAAGGCTGTGTCTCAATTCCATCAAACGGTCGAATCAGAAGACCGTCGGGATACAATTTGACTCGGGGAGGGAGATGCGTCTCTCTGCCAGAAGTATTTTTATTCTCGGACTTGAAACGCGCGCGCAGGCGGTTGCAGCGCTTTTCAAACAGCACCAAACACATCGCTCGCGAGAATTCATATATTAACGAGTGTGAAGAATATAATATAATCGAGCAGTCCATTATAAACCTCTCACCAGTGTGAACTCGCGAAAGATGAGAAAACTTCCAAGTTGTACGATATTCACTTGCCACGAGTTCACGCTAAGTGACAAAATTCACGTTCGCTCGCCGAAGCACGATAGCCGCCAAGCGTCTCGCCTTAGCTCAATACAGAACTAAAAAAGCGTATATATGTATATATACAAGATGTTTAAAAAAAGGGTTCAAGACCTTAAGGGCAAATAATACTCGCAAAATGGAGGAAAATGTTCCCTTAAAGCTCTGAATCCTTTTTCTAAATATCCTACTGTATAATTTAAATAATTTAAAGTAGGATATATATATAAATATCCTACTTTTAATATCGTACTATTTCGAAAGCGACCACAGCTGACTGAGCGTGCATGTTACTTCGCAAGCGCGATCCTGCATCCGCGCGAAGGACCCCGAAGTTCGTCCACTCTCGACGATGTTGTAACCGAACACCTGGCGACGCACGACAAGCGACTGGCATTTGAAAATCCCAAATCGAATCGCCAACGAGCGCCCTGAGCGGTGCCGATCGGTTTCACACCGTCGATCGCGACAACGAGACCGATCGCCAGGTCAGCGCTCCGAAGTTATCGCTCCGGGCTCTCTTCGCAGGATCATCGATCTAAGGATCTCGACGTCTCCTCGCGGTATGCGCGAGCCAGTCGAGGGCGCGAAACGCCGACGACGGGGACGCGGCGGTAACGGCAACGGCGGCGGGGGGGGGGAGGAACCGACCGGCGCTACACCGCAGGATCGAATCGGATCGGAGCGATTTCACCACCTGTTAACGAAGGACGAACAGGCGCGATCGTCCTGAGAGCACTCGCGGGACGCTGGAACGCACGGCGCCGTAGCACGTGGCACGTCGCATGTGGCCGGGCTCTCTCTCTCTCTCTCTCTCTCTCTCCCTCTTTCTCCCGCTCGCTCGCTCGCACCGCTCCTCCGCGTGTGTGTGCGCGCGCGCGCGCTGGCAACGGGAACGCGTGCGAACAGCCGGCGTCCGGGCGTTCCGCGTCGCGACTGCCGGCGCGCGGTGTGGCTAAAAAACCATACGATGACCTCATCACACCGGCTATGTTCTCCTCCTGTTCATGTCACTACCTATACTACTAGCCGTCCTGAAAACGTTGTCGTGACGTCGTCAATCGCCGCCTCTGACGCCACCGCCGCCGTCTTCCGCAGGTTGCTGCAGCCGCGATACCGCTTATCTGCGAGCGTAGGCGTAGGAAGCAGAGAGGGGGGTAAAGGGAGGGAGCACATGCGGACGCAAACGCATCGCGCCTCGTGTCAATTTTTGGAAACGTAGGAAGAGGGTGGCACGCGATGGTGCTGCGAGAGGTCGAATGAGAAGATCGAAAAGAACGATGTTATGACAGTCTATGGTCTCCTAGAGCTGCGCTCACGCCGCCGATCGTCATCGGCAACTCTCGTGAGAGCCGGCAGTCTTCGTAGATTCTTTACGCGATCAACGATCATGCTACTACCTTCGTCGGACTAGGAATGTACACGTCGGTGGATCTGCAAATCTTCGAGCTTTAAATAATTTATTTCATATACTCGTTTATTAACTCGTTAATTAATTTTTCACTTCATTAATTCATTTCGAACAATTTTGTTAACTTCATATATATATATATATTTCATCATATATAGTTATGTTCATATGCAATTTTTTACATATAATTATTCTTTATGTAAATATTGCTTTTTCTTAATTTAGTAATTAATCAATAAGTTTCTAACGTAAGATCCAGGATTGAGAGTTTCTTCCCAGAAGCAACTCACATTGCCGTAATATATTTTGAACAATTCGTTCGCCGTTACTCCAATGAAATAACGGAGCATCGCGATTTTTCTCGCCTTTTCTCATCAGATTTTTCTATCACTCCCTACGTGTAAAGTGTGGTGCTAAGAATTTATTCATCGTTACATTGCGACATAATTAATGAAAAATCTAATAACATTACTGTTGTATTCTTATCGTTACTAACGGAGAAAAATAACGGCATGTCACTGAAAAGAAGAAACGGAATGACGTTTCCCGAAATAACAACGCGTTACTTCCCAATCCTGGTACAAAACGCATATATATATACGCAAAGAGAAGGTCGTAGGCCACAAAATACGAATAAAAAACGAAGAATAATTCTCAATGCTGTGTATTTTACTTCTCAGTACTAGAGAATATACGTGAATTATTAAATAAGCTACATCACGTATGCAAATTCGGTATGACGACTCTGAGGTCTAGAAGAAATTAGCGGTTCACTGTAAAACAGAAACGATTATATCATTCGGGAGTGTGGATTCACGCGGGAGTAGATGTTTCATAGTTCTTCGGCTTATGTAAGTTGCTGTAATACCATCGTGCATTGCGCTGTTTATTATCTTTTCAAACATTTTGAACGGGAAATCAGCTTTATACAAGTAAACATAAATAGATCGCCGCGTATATAAGTCCTAAATCCGCTTAGTCGTACTTAGGAACCTAATAACTCCGAGGGATCATATATCGTTATTACTATGTCTCTGCGGACTTTTTCAGAAATGTAAAATCTTCACTTTCTCGTCAAGCATGAATGACACACTGCATCTGTTTACCGATATGATACAATGATTAACGTATAATTCGGACGAAACAAATGCAAAAAAAGAAGAGAGAGGAGAGAATGAAATCGCAATGTTCCTCGCGCACACGTGTGAAAAGGAATTATTTTAACGCTATGAGCGTTATCCAATTTTCTTACGAAGGGATTGAGTGATGTACAATGAATAACAATCCAATCGATACGAAATGAGAAGTTCGCATCTGTAGCACATATAACGAGAGTATCTCACACATTAATGTCTCACACATTAATGTCTCACACATTAATGCCTCACACATTAATGTCTCAATCACTTCGTTCAATGCTGTGTCCCTTTTTCATCGATTTTAGCGCTTTCTCCCGAAGTTTCTTTTCCAGTTCTTCGGTATTACCTTCACTTACATCAGACTCATCCGATTCCGCGACCTTCTTCTTCTTATGCTTCCTGTGCTTCTTATGCTTCTTGTGTTTCTTGTGCTTCTTTTCTTTTTTCTTCTTCTTCTCCTCGATTTCGCTTTCCTGAAAATACCATGACCTTGATAGCAAATGTAAAAAAAAGAAGACAATCAAACAATAACTTGTTATATGCGTCGTGTCAATACCTCCGATTCACTCGTGCTGGTTTTCGCTTTTTTCTTACGCTTCTTTTTCACCTTTTCGTCATCAGAACTGTCATCAGCCTTTCTTTTCTTCTTCGCATCCTTGTCCGCGACATCGTCATCTTCCGAACTGGAGTCACGTTTAGATTTCTTTGATTTTGATTTGGCGTCGTCTTCGCTCGTCGAATCCTTCCTCGACTTCCGTGACCGAGACTTTTCGTCATCTGATGAAGTATCCCGCCTCTTTTTCTTCTTGGGCTCTTCGTCAGAACTCGAATCCTTCTTTGCTTTCCGAGATCTCGACCGATCATCTTCGTTTCTTCCTCTTTTAGCTTTCTGCTCTTCCTCGCCTGAGGATGAGTCCTTTCGCGATCTCTTTGACTTTTTCATTTCTTCCTCGATCTCTTTCTTCGAACGTTTTCGTGAATCGTTCTCGGCGATTTCGCGTTTTCTACTGTCCTTTCGATCTTTGTTGCGATCGTCCGTTGAAGAATCTGTTGAAAAATAATTACGTTTATGTAAATCACATCGATTTTATTAGTCACGGACTCGCTACAAATCTACTACTTATGAAATAATTACTATTTATGAAATTATTATTTACGAGAAACTAACCAGGTCTAACAATCTCTCTGGCTTTCTTATTTTTGTCCGGATGTTTTCTGTCATCATCAGAATCTGAACTTGATTCTGCTTTGCTCTTATCAGACTTATCTTCGTCCGTTGATGTTTTCCTGGATTTTCTGGGCTTTTCCAGCTTCCTCGATTTTCTCTTGTCTGTAAGATAAAGTCAGAGGAACTGAATATTTTTTACACGCAATCGATTTAAACGCAAACGATTAAGATTTATACTTTACCTTCAGCATCGCTATCTTCACTATCCATGGAACCATCACGTTTTTCTTTTTTTGTTTTTTTCGCCAGTTCTGCAGGTTTTTTGGATAGTGCAGGTTCCAATGCAGGTTTCTGAGTGGATTTCTTGTCCTCCGTTACCGACTTCGTTGTTTTTAGTGATTTCTCGTCCTTCTTTAGAGGGAAAGCGTCTCCAGCAGGAAAACTCACTTCCCCAACCTTCGGCGACTCGTCTTTAACTTCTTCCCTGGAGTAAAATATGTACAATTGCGTATATTGAAAGAAAATAGATTATATTATGCGGAATATAATTATATTGGAACATACTTCATCGTTTGTTTAATCTTGGCTGCTGCTGCCACAATGTCTTCGGTCTTTTTGAACGGCGACGGTGTACGCGACAGGCTCTTCGAAAACTGAGAAATTGAAAGCAACAGGGGGCATTTAAATGGCAGTTTATGATGATCAAAAGATATATGCATATGTGGAAAAAAAACATCGAGAATTTATCGCTAGCGATAAAAAATAGATCTTTTCATGAATTATGCTGGGGGAAACCAAACGGATAATAATTTTCCTTTAATCAATTTCAAGTAAATTTTACCGTAACAGAATTTTATATTGTAACTTGGCCATAAAAATATGTTATATAGTGAAAAGTTACCATAAATAATAATCTTTCACGCAATATCTTCACCAAGAAAAAATTGTCAAATTTTTACAAAAAACTCTTCGTTAACATGAAATAATTTACACCCTATATATTACATTCGCTACCGACGTCACATATGTGACATATGTGTAATGATCTTTCATATGACATATATGTACGTCATATATGTGTAACAGCAATAATTTTCCTGTTTATATAAGAAATTAAGTCTGTTTCCAAATAAACAAATATAGAGGCAAGTAAAAGTTCAAACGCATATTTACAAGAAAGAAGGAAAATTATGCTTTCAATTACATTTAAATATTTCGGTCTTACCGTTTTCCTCTTTGGGGCCTTCGTCAGTAAAATTTAATTTATTTAAATATAGATTATAATTATTAAAACGTAAAATATTTGTCGATACACTATTAAAAACGTGATCGGCATGCCAAAGTTATCAAAATAATCACGCGTAATTAAGATACTTGAAAGTAAAAAGTTCTCTTACTTCTTATGCACCTTTTTCGATCTTTATATTATTAGTTTTCTTTCCCCTTTCTCTTATTTAAAATAATTGACTTATTGACTATTATTTAAAAGAATAATTTTAACTAAAAATAACCTTGTATTAAACATTCATTCAAACAGCGCCGACTCTTATCTCTATAGTTGCTTATTTGTGTATTTGGAAAGCTTATTTATTTTATATACAAATCTATTTTACATAATTATATAAAAAACACATGGTAAACTGTGAGCAAAGGCTTCAAATAAATTGTGATAACAAATTGATATCATGATATGTATGTGTACATGATGTCCCATTTTAAATGAGGCAAAAATCTCGAAAAAATATGAAAGATATTAAGAAATGTTGCAGACAAAAGTTGTATAGTTTCAAAGAAAACATAAAATAATTATATCATTTTGTTTACAGATGACGCCACTTTCGAGACATTCATTGATTAGTACTTTTCTTAAGTGGAAATCCCAATTTTTTATTATATTATTCTTCTTTATTAATTAATTTTAACAACTTTTGTTTAAAATATTTTTTTATTGACCTAATATTTTTTGAGATTTTTAAGGAAAAATTGACAACTTTTTCAATATTTAACTTGCGATATCTCGCTAACTATTTGTCGGAAGAAAAAGTAGTACTAGACTTTTTTTTACTCTAATGTCTTAACTTTTATTAACTTATCGATCTGTGGAAATATCAAAATCATCGAATTAATAAAAGTCAGGGCACTGTTGTAACAATATATTCTTGACACTAAATAGAGTAAAATAATCTAGTACTACTTTTTCTCCCGACAAATAATTTGCGAGATATCGTAAGTTAAATGTTGAAAAAGTTACCAAGTTTTTCTTAAATATCTCAAAAAATATTAGGCAAATAAAAAAATGTTTCAAACAGTTGTTGAAATTAATTGGTAGAAAAGGATGATATAATAAAAATTGACATTTCCATTTAAGAAAAGTAAAGATCAATATCTCGATGGTGGCGCCATCTGTAAATAAAATAATATAGTTGTTTTATGTTCCCTTTGAAATCATACAACTTTTGTCCGAAATGTTTCTTAGTATCTTTCATATTTTTCGAGATTTTTGCTTGGTTCATTTAAAATAGGACACCCTGTATATACATAGAATATTTATGACTACACACACACACACACACACACACATATACATACATTAAAATTATAGCTGTACCGACCGCCTCTAACAATCAAAATAGTTAAACTTACTCGATGTCTTGTAACAGGAAGCGAAACTGCTTGAAGCTTCTTGGGGGAGACGCTAGGCTCCGGTTTCTTCACGGCGACAGGTTCTACCTTCTTGTTCTCCTTCTCAGGCCGTTTGGCAGACTCCTCCTTCACCGTCTTCTCCTTCTCTTTCTTCTTGGCATCGTCGGTATGCTCCCGCTCTCTCTCCCGCTTCTCCTGCGACGTCTTGCGCTCGATCGATTTCCTGCAGACACAGAGAACAAGCGCTCTCTCTGTAAAATGTCCGCGCTTTATCCACAAACAACGAGCGGATTAGGCCACGACCGAACGAACGTCCGTCGATTTATTTATCATCCAACGATCGCGAGAACTCCGTAAACGAAGTACCGTGTTCAAAGCGATGTTTCACTCACCTAAGTGACTCGTCCTCATTGCTAGAGGAACTACTCTCGCTACTTTCCGAGCTACTCGACTTAGATCGGCCATTTCGTAACTCTTTTCGCGATCCTGTATCAGGCGGTCTTTTAGCTTTCTCATCCGTTTTCTTGTCTCTTGCCTTATCCTTGGCATCCTTCGAACGATCGGGAGACCGTTTCCCGTCTCTCGAACGATCCACCGATGACCTCTGATCCTTGGATCTCGATCTATGATTCTTCGATCTAGATCTACGATCCTTATCTCGCCGGTCTCTGGAACGATCCCGCCTACTCGATCTGTCGCGAGAGGAAGATCTATCGTACCTGCTCGATCGATCCCGTCCGTCCGGCGAGCGACGTCGGCTGTCACGGCGATCGGGTGATCGACGTCTGTCGCGTCTCTCCGACGACCGTCTCCTGCGATCCAGCGATCTTCTGCGACGTCTGTCTCCAGGGCTCGGTGATCTACGGCGATATCTTGCCGGACTCCTCCGCGGCGGACTGCCGAGAAACAATTCTTCATAGAATCTTTCTTTTTCTACCAACCACGCAACACGGCGGAATTATTCGGCGAACGGGAATACATTTACCTGCGTCTATTGGGTGCTCTGCGAACCGAAGGCGGTCGCATACTGCGGCTACCGCTGTACCGATCCATTCTTTCCCTTTCTCGCTCCCTCTCGCGTTCCCGTTCTCGCCTCCTGTCACGGTCGCGGTCCAATGACCTTCTGAATACAAAGAATTTTTTTTAAATCAAATAATTATCTGTATGCAATAAATTTTTAGATACATCCTCCAAACCGTTTTCTTTTTTATTTTATAGAACAAAACACTGTACTCATAAAATTCTGCTAGGTTTTATTTCCGAGTTAAAGTCCGCGTTTCTTTACGGATTTATTTCGTTAATATTCCGGTTCTTTTCATCGGGAAGATAAAGAACTTGACGTCAGAGTTGAAAAAGTTACTTTTTAAAAAAAGCTCATTATCGTTATTCGTTATCCACTGAAGTAAGTTATACCATACTGAAGAATATCGTTATAATTTCCGTCTTTTTCGCTGCTCAAAGTAACGATTACACACACATACATACATTACAGTTCTAAAAATATAATTTGATCACCGTTATCATCACAAGCGAAAAAAACATCAAGTCATCCTTGATAATTTGTAAATATAACGATGTTACAAATAATAACATGTTAACTTTCCAAACTTGTCCGATATTGATAAAATATTAGATTGCTCCTCTCTATAATAAAATAAACCGAAAAGTTCATAAAATATTGGAAACACATTTGCAAGAAACGCGGCTTCAATCCAAGAACCAAACCTAATATTTCTTCACACCGCGGATGCTTCAAATATCATACTTATGAGATTCTATGAAAGTAAGTATTGTATTTTTCTATCGACAACTCTGCTCAAAATTACTGAAGAGAAATTAGCGAAGGTTTCTTTTTTTTTAAATTATGTGTATACTGTAGTCTATATTTAAATTCCTTTCTCTCTCTTTTTTCTTTTTTTCATTATTTTTTGTGCTTTAAATGGTTCACTCGTTTATAAATAAACAAATATGATTTTACCTCCGGTTTCTATCGCGCGATCTATCGCGTGACCTATCTCGCGATCTATCCCGCGATCTGTCGCGCGATCTATCTCTGCCTCTATCCCGATCTCTGTCCTTGGAACGTCCTCGATCCCCTTTGCGCGGTGAAGGACTCCTCCTCTTAGGAGCCGACTTTCTTTCACGACTAGAGTCGCTATCGCTGCCGCTATCGTCCTTGTTAGTCTTCCGATAAGATCGCTTAGCTTGCACGCCATCCTTCTTCTTTCGTATCTCGAAATCATTCTTATCCTTCGCTCCTTTCTCCTCCTCCGAGCCCGAGCTGCTGCTTGTACTGCCGTCGCGCTTCCGGTTGGAGCTGACGTTGTCCTTCCGCTTGTCCGACGATTTCGAGCGAGACTTGGAGGACCTCGAATCGCTTGAGTCGGACCTCGACTTCCTCGCCTTGCTTCGATCATCGCTCTTCGATCGAGATTTCTTAGAGCGCGAGCGTGAACGCGAGCGCGAACGCGACCTCGGCGATTTGGACTTGCTGCGCTTAGACTTGGTGCGGTCTTGCGAGCACGACTTTGATCTTCTGGACTTGGAGTGAGATCTTCTGGATCTCGACTTGGAGCGAGATCGTCTGGATTTCGAAGCGGGCGATCGAGAACGACGCACTTTCGAATCTCGGCTGGGCGACTTGGATCTAGATTTCTTCGAGCGACTCGCCGGCGATTTAGATCTAGATCGCGATTTCTTCGCAGACTTGTCCAGCGACTCTGGCGAGGGCGTGCGATTGTTCTTCTTCTTTCCATCGGCGATACTCATCAATTTCGCCTGTAATCTTGATATCGCAACTGCTGCTTCCCTGCGAACATACGGAAAGTATATTGGTAACGAGAAATTATCTAAATCGAGATTTCTCAAGGAATCATCGATACGTCCCGGTAATGATCACGATTAGATTTACTTACGGTTTGGTTTTAACTGGCATCAAAGGTATTGCATTCTCTGGCTGTGGTGAGTCCTCCCGTTCGATTTTAACCTCGGGCATATCTTTCCCGTTATCTTTCAGTGAATTCTTGCTGGGAGATCTAGAAGCGGACCTTCTCTTGCGGCTCGATCGGTCGCGATCACGGTGTCGATCTCGTGACCTGCTCCTTTTGCTTCTACAAGCCGACACAAGACTTTAGTGTAAACATATAACTGTATATTTCAGACATCACTACATTATATGATTATTATTTTATTAAATATTCAACATAAAATCTCTTAAAATATAAAGATAACGCTGTAACGACTTGATACTTCCCAAGTAGCACAAACTTTTAAAAGAGTCTGAGAAACGTCTAAAACGATAGAATATCTTTTATTAAGATATACCTCAGAAGTTTGTGCTATCTAGGTTAATAAACGAAGCGACAGCTAAAATCTGTTCTGAATATAAATAAGAGAAGAAAATTATCATCGCGCTATTAAAATACCTTTCTCGGTCACGATCCCGACTTCGATCCCTCCTACGCTCCTTTGATGATCCGCGATCTTTTTCCTCTTTCTTCACTTTCTCGGCGTCATCTTTCTCTTTCTCGCGCTCCTTTTCTTTCTCCTTCTCCGCCAGCGATGCTTGAAGCTTCTCTTGCTCTTCCTAATGTAAAATGTTACAACATAACGTAAGTCTAAGCTCTGTATATTATTTTCCTACAACTGAGTATAAATAGATATAAATAGATATGATTCATTTGAATACATTGAATATCTCGCTGAATGTCAAGATATAGCGCTTCAATTGTTTTCGCATACTTTTGCAACACTTTATGAGATATTTTGTAAGGATTTAAAAAGTATGTATGTATGTAAAGTTGCATCTTGCACATTATATAGAAACTAAGTGCTGCATGCGGAAGTTAAATTTCGTTATCGAAAATTTTAGATTGTATTTATTTCTAAACAACGACTCATACGAAAAAATGTATAGAATAATGTTTTACTAAACGAATAATCTGCATGTATATGATTTACTTGACAGGAAAAAATTACATGAAATGTACCTACGTAAAATGTAAATTACGAATGTCGAATAGTCGGACACTTAACAACAAATGTATCCTAAGCTTCAATATGGCCTTAAATTTGATATCTAAGTCATCTACCAGGTCAAAAGTCTACTACTTTCTTTTTAATCATCTTCATCGTATCTGTATATACAATGTGATATATGATAAAATATATCAGGATATATATATACATCAAGCTATCAGATGACAGATTAATTAAAAAATCAATATGTAAACGCATATCCAAACACGATGCAGACGATTAGAGAAATTAGCGAGTTTTGGTCTATTGAGTAATCATTTAAGTGTACTATATGTTCGAATGTATGAGCTTTATGTTATTCATTACGCAAAGATTAAAATCGATAATTACCAAACGTTTTTTGATCTGATCTTTTTTTTGTTGTAAGAAAGCCTCGGGAATGCCCGTAACGCTTTCCTGAGCAGAGACTAGAAGGTCCCATAATTCACCCATGAACGAACGGGCATTCCTGCCGTTTAAGAAACCCGTGAGGTTGATCTGCATTTTTCGGGGATCAGGGAACTGTAAAACACATAGCGTGCAAATTTAATTCATAGCGACACAGCAACAGATGGAAAGATTTCTCGGTGCATCTACACGAGTCTCAATAATAAGAGAGAAAAAAATAAGAACAAAGAGAGAAAGAATACTGCGTTAAATTCCGTTTTGGAATCTCGGTCAAAGAACAATCAGTATTCGTATCCCTATGTATAATTTTGCTACGAACTGCTTTTCCCCCTCGAAAAAGCAGATTATTTATTCAGTTATCACTAAGCGTGCCTTACCACCGATGCCTTCAACAGCTCGCACACCCTCGCACCTGCGTTATAAAAGGATTACATGCTGAAGAGAAAGGGCAATTAAGATTATCGACTTGAAAAAGACTTAAGTAGCGCAAAATGCACCGCTCTTATACCTCGTCGTGCTCTTCTCTCATCGAGAGTTTACATATTCACACCGTTAAAGATGTATATGTGTACGTGTCTCTCGCTGTCTCTGTCTTTGATTACGCTGAAACGATATGGAAGCGTAATATCGAGTATTCGGCGTGAGCTGGCCCCGGGCTGAAAGTCGGAGAAATAATGTGGTATAAAAGGATCACCTTTTCACCAACCTGTGGCATTGACAAAGAGTCAAACCGTGTAGGGATACCTCCGGCGCCGTTTTCGCCTGTATCTTGCGCCGTCGACACGGCGCCGTCGACATGGGTATGTGTGTCCGGAATATCGAGGTCCATCGCGAACCGAAGCTTTGAAGGCGGTAATTACGGGGGAGCAGCCGTCGGGCGACGCATCGCTCTTCGATGCGCGGCGAATCCAAGAATGTCCGATGAAGTGTCTCCGAGAGCGCAGCTCGCGCCTGCGGACCTTCCGAAATAGATGCGCGGACACCGCCTCAGGTGGAGCGACCGGCCGGTGCGACGAGGTCATCGTCGGAAGGCTGAAGATTCTCGGGCAAGTGAAAGCTGCTGCGAGCTTTCGACAGGTCCCACCAAGACGGTGCTCACAACGTTGACTACCTTCGTAGCGAGGTAGCGAGGTAGCGAGAGCACGACGACGAAGAGGCACGATGATGTCCAATGATGCCAGCCAGTTGACTGTCGATACCGAACAGCAATGTAGGTAACTCCAGCAGCAGGCTCCAGTAGGCTCGCGATACGCAGCTCCGGCAAAGGACGCAGCTAAGCAGGAGAGCATGATGCGACGGAAGTATTCGGTCTCGATCAGGACGCCGCCGTCAATCCCTCGACGACTGCGTGTTGACGGTGTTGCCACCACCGTGACGACATAGCTGCTGAAGCTGAAGATTTGTCGGCGGTTCTAAGGTGACGCTGAGATACCGACTGCCACCAGCTGACGCTAGGGTTGACGGATGATAGAAAGGCGGCCAATCGGATGTAGAGAGGATCACACCCGAATGCCATTTGGACAATAGGGTTGAGCCCCACCAACGGTCTCTACTTATACTAACGGGGGAATTCAAACAGATGTGATAAAAATCGATTTGTACGATTCGTTATTGCAGGATCAGCTACAGATCAGTTTTTTTTGTTTCTCTCTTTTTTTCTTTCCTTTTTTCTTTTTCTTTTTTCTTTTTGTTTATCGAAATTGTGGATACGCTTGGAGAGGAAGAGGACATGTGGACCAATCGAAAATGAGGATACTGAGGAACGATGAAATTTATGGAAATTAAAGAAAAAAAAAAAAAAAAAAAAAAAGAAAAATAATGCAGCAAATACGGCTAAGAGAATACTCTGCCTCATTGCTTTGTGTTACTCAAACTCGGCACTGTCGTGTGCGGAGTTTGGATAGTGACTTGCTTGCGACTTCTAAAAAATCATCGTGCTGAAATAATGCATATATATCGATTTCCTATATGATGAGGGGAAAAAGCCAAGTGAAAACGCATCTGACATTACTGCTTTTCCTCAAGCTATTCCGCTATATCTATCTCTAATCGAATTGCCTAGTTTCGTTCGGTTAGGTGCAATGCATCTCTTACCTTCTCCTCGAGCTGATTATATACAAATTCTACCACAACGTCGTCTTCCATTCCCAAAATCTGCGTGATCTTCGTAGTAATCCATGGCTTAATCACGTCGAGTTTCACTTTGCTCATGTCAACCTGTAAAGTACATAAAAACCTAATATTATAAAATTTTTGAAAAATATTACGCAGACTATCTGATTTCTAACGAAACAATTATTAACTCTTTCAGTCGATGGGATTCAGTCCCATCCCGATACCCCTCATCACAGAATGTTGTAAGCCCCAGTCGAGAACGATAAACGCAAAGTACTTTTTGTACTATATACAAAGCTATGTATTATCTTTTGATAAAATAATTACAATTATATGAAGATTGATAACTACATGAAATGATTTATGTTAGTCTCATTAATTAATTAAAAAAATGCGTAACTCTATATAAATATTTGGTAACTGTCGATAAAATCAATGACAGAGTCAAAAAAATTAACAAGCTGTATAAAGTCCCTTAATTTGTCTAGAAATTTATTGTTAGAGTACATGAAAGTAATAGAATAAGACCTGTGCATAATCTGATTTTATATTTCATATATCATTGCAACATCATTTGCACATTTGAAAAACACCCAAATTTTCATAGTAAAACCGTAATTGACAGTTTTATTTATCTAATTAGGAATGATTGCTATGTATTTTACTATTAAACATTTACAAGAATGACAAAAACAATGTGACATTATACATATTAAGATTTAATGGGATATGAATTTAGAGTGACAATAAATATATTATGGTCATGCTAAATTAATCTTCGGATAGCATGCAATCAATAAAACTATTGCTATAATAACATCCAAAAATATTATCTATCTATAAACCTATATAATCTCTTTTTTTTAACATATTATATAAGACTATAAATATAGATTTAAATCTTATAACAAAGGACTTCATATTAATTGTATATGATTTTGGAACTCAGTGAAATGAGTTAATTTCCACATATGTTGTAGTTTAAGACTTGCTGAACAAAAAAATATAATAGACTTAAATCAAATAATAGACAAGATCAAATAATGAACAAATTTCTTAATTATAGTCAAAGAGGAAAAAAATTAAACTGAAACATATTAAAAACCTTACAAGGAAACCATTCTTCTTATTGACCACAGGAGAAATTCTATTTATACTCTATGTATTGAGTAATATATAATCTCATATATATATATATATATATATATAATGAAAAATTGTGAAAATTAATCAGATCAAACTGAGAAGAAAAGGGATGTACCATTTTTCAAATAAATACGTAACATTTTCAAATTATCAATTAAGAATCTCTAGATTTAGAATCTATGATCATTTTCAATCATTAATAACTTAATAACTATTGTGAATTTTACAAAATGGTACTTGACTCTTCTTCTCAGTTTGACCTGATTAATCTTCATAATTTTTTATTTCCAAAAGATCCTAGACATCCTGTATATATATAATCATGTATATCATCCAAGATAACTCATATATAAGATGGGATTTGACCTTCTTCCATAATATGTTACTTAAATAATGAAAAGTTAATAAAATAAATACTGCCTTTATTTCTTATGTAATAAATAAATAACAAATTGTCTGATTGCACAATATTATCTGAAAATAAAAACAAATGTAAATAATAATATGCTTTGCAAGTTGTGAAATCCCAATATTGTTTATAGTTGATTCTTATTATTTAAGATTGTCTTAAGTATAGTCTTAAGATGTTGTAAACTAATTATAACAGAGCCATATGAACATTTTAGAAAGCAGTACTTATGAATACTAGTCACTGACTAGGTACGCATGAGTGAGACGCGCGCCAACCTTAAGTGCTATATAGATAAGAGCGCTTATTCGTTAACTTTAATATATTCTTCTGCAAAAACTATTTGTCAGACACAATTTTGCTAAAGAAAAAAGTTGTCTATTTAGCATAAAATATCATGTCCTGTACTCCAAATGCAGGAATTCCAGGTCACCCTATATATATATTGTTATGAAATGTCTATTCTTGACATAACCCAGGATATGGTAGAAGACTGGACATGTATGTATGACTTATTAGAAGTCACAATTGTCTACTGATTTATTTTCTTATAAAGTTTTCGATATACTTCAGCCTTTTTCCTCTTTAACTATAATTCATAAACTATTCATTATTTGGCCTTGAATCTATCACATTTTTTGTTCAGTAGGTCATAAGTTACAACATATGTAAAAACTAACTAATTTCACCAAATTCCAAAATCATATATAATTAGTGTGAGATTCTTTGATCCAATCTACTAGTGAGCACTAGTGTCGACTAAGTTAATATTCATAGTCCATTCTTATATTCCACACCCCAAGCTTATTTTTATATTTAGATTTTAGAATTGTTTCATTGACAAGGTATTAGAAGATAAATCTAAGACAATACAGGAACAGACTTTGATACCAATTTTAGTAGGCAATATTAGAGTATCTGGGCAAATTTATAATTAGAAAAATAAAAAGGTGAATTACCTTCTGTGTCAATGAATCCCCAAATTTCATTTGTTTAAGAAGTTTTTTCTCCTTGTCGCTGAATCTTGTGTCCTGCGACGCGGTTGTCCCCTAGAAAATTACAAAGCAATTTAAAGCAGAGTATGATTAAGATTTGGCCTGGTTGCTACAAGTTTTCGATATTTCTTACTAATCTCCAAATTAGAAGAACCTTAAAATTAGTTGAAAAGTATTTTGTTATCCACTTATACCTTTAAAGCTTGTTTTATATAAAAAAAATCACTAGAAATAAAAAATTTGAAGTCATATTTTGAATTTATTAAAAATTAATCATTAATTCTAAAAAAGCAAAATCACTTGACTTTCTCTATTCCCGTACCTTCTATTTACTCTTCCTTATGGCTAAATACATATTTTATTGCAATGTGTTTTAACGTAACAAAAATTTGTTATACAATTATATTGTTCACTTGTATATTACTAGAAACAAATTGTTATAAAATAACTTAATGGTAGATTTAATTATTTTAACATTGAAACATAGTGAAATTGAACAGAAAGCACGAAATTCACGTCGCGATAGGATTACTAATATATCAGTATGCGTAACGTATAAGATATAAGATGCAGGTAAGATAAAGAAATAACATACAAAGATATCCTTACCGTGTACATCATTCAGGCAGCGTGCAAAGGTCCAGGAGTTGATGAAATATATCCAGCCGGCGGCACGCCAGACGATAACTTGTTCTCTGCGAAGAGAAACTAATATATTACATCATGATCGCTAACTCGCGACACACGATGATATTCAGATTGGACGAGTTTTTCTAACACCTTTGTAACAATCGTACATGAACGACGAAACGAATCAAAGCACTAATATGGCGGTCGTGCAGTTAGAATATGCACCACAAGATAGTACAACCTCTCTCTTGAGAAAAGAACCGGTTTCAGCGCCACCATACCTCAAGCCTTCTACATTAAAGCCAGCGGCACACGGTGCTTGTTTTCGTGCTGGATTGCTTGCTGGATGAAAATACTGCGTTCTGATTGGTGCATTTCCATCCATCTTCGGAAATGTACCAATCACAACGCAATATTTTCATCCAGCAAGCAATCCAGCACGAAAACAAGCACCATGTGCCGCTGGCTTTAGTCGCAAGTCTCACGATCGCAAGCAAATTGACCAATCACGATCAATTGTTCTCTTTGCAATCGAAGAATAATCAACTGTGATTAGCCAATTTGCTTGCGACTTTGCGACTTGAGACTAATATAGAATAGACTTTATATCAGTAGAGAGAAACTTGGGAGCAGCCATTAGGCCAGACCTAAGGGACGCTTTTTTGCCTCTTTTGTAACGTCCCACCATATTAAAATTCCCTATCTTCTCACCAAAACTCACCATACCTTTTCCTACCCAATCAAATCCTTACCTATCATCGACTAATTCAACTGCAACGCCTCCTACAAACACCTCTGCAATCAACAGGTACCTCTGTCGTCTTTTATCGTTAATATAATATAATATCATTAATACTCGAAACTATTTACTGAATCATCATCTATCTTCTTCTTTCTCTCTCTTCCTTCTATCTTCTTGCTTCGTTTAGTAAGCGATAGATTATCAAACAACTAAATAACATAAAAATAATCATAAATAGCGTATTTTGAAATAAAATTAACATTAACATAGGAAAAGAGAGAATAAGAAAATTTAAGAAATAAATTTAGAGCTAGCTTATAAATTCATTTGTCTCGGGGACTAAGAACGATTTCGTTCGGGCACAGCCGCGCACATATTGGAATGTGTGTTTATGTTATAGATATCATCGAGTGATAGCTATCCCACGTACTGCGAACTAAACAAAGACCTGAAACAAAGACTCGAAGAGGAAAATAATTTCTTTTCTTTCTTCTATTTTTCTTCTTTTTAAATGATATTAAATAATTGCCATCATATTTCGCAAATAATTCCTCAAATATTATTGTCAAACCGCCTATCCTAATGTATATGCGCTTTAGAATTGTAAGAGGATCTATTCGTATTATTTAACTTTAACGATTACTACGCCCAAATGAAATAATTCTTTTAAGTTTCCAAATTCTTATATTATACCAAAGGAAATCAATAACAACATTTCTATTTCTTAGTAAAACATAATTTTATTAATAAATCAGCCAACAACAAGACAACTGAATTACCAAACGCTACATATGATTAAGTATAATTTTAATTACTAGATAATAACATTTTTATATTTTTTAACCAATAAATAATGAATGGTGAATTAAGAAAAGACGCTCAATTGATATCCATAATGTCGGGCTTGGGTATAAAAAGGGCTCGGCCCTTCGCGCGCATGCAGTCTCTCGGCAGTCTCTAAGCAGTCTCTCGTCAGTCTTTAAGCAGTCTCTTGTTAGCCTCCAATTAGCCATCAGACAATCTTGCGTTGAGCCTCTTGTTAGCCGATTGCCAAAGGGTCTTGAGCCTGGAATCAAAAGGTATTAAAGATTATTGTTCTTGGGACTCCGTCTGCAAATGCTAAGACGCTTGTTAAGACGTAAAATCCAAATCATTAAAGGTCGAACGAGCCTCTTTTCCTCATACTATAGGATACTATAGAGAATCATTTCTATTACTTGAATAAATATTGAGCCAGCTATTAACTACATTAAATTTAGTGTATGAATTTTTAAACTTAACAATATAGAGTAATTTCATAATATATATATATATATGTGTACAGATTTCTTTACCTCTCTTCCCTCTTATCATCTTCAATCTTTTTCCAGAACGCCGTGCCTGAACCACGAGCACCGTTCTTCTTTTCTTTACCTTAAGAGTGTTGTGCTTGAACCACGAGCACCATTCCTCCCTTTTTATCAGAACGCAGTGCTTGAACCACGAGCACAGTTCTTCTCTTCCTTACTTTGAGAGTATTGTGCTTGAACCACGAGCATCATTCGCCTTTTTATTCTTCAAACATAACCACATCCCTTCCATCTACTTTATTATAGATATTGTTAAAATAAATATTACCTAAAAATCTCTCATGCCGAAAAGAACAAGAAGAGCCGGACGGCGGATTCAATTTAGACGTCTGTTGAAAAGTTATTATAATCCAGGCATGCTCGACCTGGCTATTTTCAAAACAGATCCATCCAAATCTTCGGTCCCGAGAATAAAATCTGAAATAAAGGGAAATATATTTGAAGTTAAATTCAACACTAGCGAGAATACTATTATTTTTAAACCTAACAGTAATCCACCTCCAAAGGAAACAGATTCAAATAATAAGGATTTGGACAAGAATAGCGCTGATCCGAAGTAAACCAAACAAATCTAGACATTGCATGTTCTGTGCTTGTCCAGGACGTAACACTTTCGAAAGTACATGCAAACTACATTCCGTCTTACACACGTCCCAATGGAAACAGTAAAACATATATAGTTCTTGTTCACATTGGCCGCGTTCAGTAGAACAAAGTGATCAGTGAGCGCTTAGGCCCAGTTCCACAACTTGCTTTAAACGGAGTTTAAAGTTAAACCGATGGTTAAAAGCAATAGTATATGCGCATATACTATTGCTTTTAACCATCAGTTTAGCTTTAAACTCCGTTTAAAGCAAGTTGTGTAACTGGGCCTTAGTAATTATTGTCTGTGATTGGAGCATTCTTTTAGATTCTTCATAGACCCAGAAGTATTTACCAATCAGGAGCGAGATTCGGTGGAAAATCTAGTAATGTTGTCCAACTGTTGAGTCTACTGAACGCGGCCAATGGCTGCAGTACCGCGATTCTGTAACTCGTTATTGGAGTTAACGACACTTTCGTTATCGTTGCGTAGCTTTTGTATACCGTAGAAAAGCTGCGCAACAATAACGAAACTGTCGTTAACTCCAATAACGAGTTACAGAATTGCACCACAGGAGTCTCGGTGCGACTACGGTACGGGTTATACCTGTTTTTGGACGGTCGTGTTATCGCATATTTTCTTTTGGTGCTATTGGCTTTCTAATTTGGTTTTTCGATTGGTTTTTTGTTTTGGTTTATCGCGAGTTCTAATTTGATTTAAGTTTTTCTTTTTCTGGGCTTTCGTATTGAAAGCTTTTGTTCGTTTATTAGGTTGATTATTTTGGTGACATGTAGTGTACACGTGATCACTCATATACAAGTGATTTATCTGTCGAGATGGAGATCGATTCTGTGGACGTTACTCCTGATGTTAGTTCAGAAGGGAGTTTGTCTGACGCAAATGCGTTGTGCAATAAAAATAATATGAGAATCAAGTCAGGTGATGTGCCTGAAAAACAAAGGGCTCTTTATCCAGGTGATATAAAGAAAGAGCTGGACCACGTGATGCGTGGCGAGGACATGCGTGATCAGTGCTTGGATTCGTCGACCTTTCCAATAACAAATAAGTTATACAAACGATTTTTGAAATCTAAGAGTTTCTCAGAGTCTCTGATGCCCTCTGGGAGCATTGAAGACCGACGGCTCATTCCTGATAAGGACAATTCAGCTAATATCCGTAAGGTCAATGAAGGTCCTGCTGCTGCTGCTTCTTCTGCTTCTGTGCCTCCTGTCGACAAGGGATGTAATGATTCCGTCATGGAGTCGGAGGTTGGTGGTGTCGGTGCAGGTATTGACATTTTACGTGATTTTCCGGTCGTTGATGGCATATTAAAAAACCGTTATGATAGGTCTAGTCAAGGTCCGTTTGTTGTTCTTATAGAAAAACTTGTCATTGACTCAAAAGACTCTTGTAATTCTGAGGAGATTGGAGTCTTGAAATTAGGTAGAGCTCTACTTAATGTTTATAATTTAAGACGTATCCTTAATGTAGCATATAATTTCAGAAAATCGGGGAAAAATACATTTTATATCGCTTTGCCTACATTTGATTTGGCAAATGAATTAGTTAACTCTATTAAAAGAAAAAAGGAACCTCTTTTTAAAGGGGAAACTTGGGTAGCTTTTTTGCCAGATTATAAGGTAACAAAAAAGGTCATCTTAAAAGGCATCGATGATATGGATTTTGGTTATAATAATATAATGGAGCTCCTGAGTCCTCCTCCAGGATGGAGAGATAATTGGGCACAACCTCTGAATGTTTATGCTTTGAGAAAGAAGGTTGCTGACCCCACGGCTCAGGGAGGTGTCAAATATGTTGACACAAATACCATTGTGGCAGTCTTCCCTAATATAACATTACCGAATTATTCTCTTTTAATTGGTAAAAGAATTTATATGATTCCTTTTATTCAGAGGGTCATTAGGTGCCTTCATTGTCAACGATTTGGGCATTCCATCAGGGTTTGCAGAGGACGTCAGTCCCCGATAACTTGCACGAGATGCGCTGGTTCTGGACATTCAGACGATGAATGTTCTTCTGAGAAAATTAAATGCATCAATTGTCTCCGATTGAAACGGGAGGATAAGGACTTGATGCATAAAGCATCAGATGTCAAATGTCCCGTATTCTTGGAACAAAAATTAAAAAAAAGATCATGGCACCTTTTGTCTCTTCTCTGGGGAGGCGGACATGTTCCTGAGAGATAAGGGACCTATCCCTTTAGGTAATGAATATGTTGGGGGGATCTTTACCTCTCCCAACTCTTGATGACTTTATTATTAGAAGATCATATGCCAATGTGGTCCAAAAGAATACGAAATTTAAGGATAAAGATAAAGTTAAAGCAAATATTTCTTCTCATAATACTGAGTTGGAAGTTGCTAATAATTCCCTTATTTACAAGGTTCCGGAAAACAAGTCTCATCCTAGAGAGGATTCTCTGTTGGCCACAAAGAAGACTCGCAACTTCATCACTAGTGGCCCTATTTCCAAGGCAAAAAATAGGGTCTCTGCTATAAAAATTCATAAGGATCTTTTGTCTGGAGAAAACGAATTTCTTCGTTTGTCTTCTCCAAAAAGAGCGGACACGCACGGGACTGTGGATCCTGCTCTTAACATCGCTGGTTCTACTGTGGTTAAGGAGTCCTCAGGAAAGCTTTCATTGAAAAGGCAAGAGGGTCCTAAGATCATAAGTGACATTCTTATCGATAATTATAGAAATATTAAAAAGGTTTCGCTGCCCGAATTGGGCCCGGAGGGTCCTGGGGCTGGGTTCTGCTCGTTCCACCCCTTTGGTTACTTTCGGTGCGGGGGTTGGGTTGATGGATCCTCCCCCCTTGGTGCTTTCGGTTGTTCCTGAAGCTATGGCTGCGCCGCGTACGATGGCGGAACTGGACGGCTGGTTAAAGAATATGTCATTTGAAAAAGCCACAAGTTTACTTGCCGATTATGCAAATGATACGGACAACCCTTTCTACTTGTTGGTTAGGGGTTTTCTCGTTAAAAAGAGGCATTCTCAGGAATCAACTGAGCCGCTTACTTCCTCTGATAGTGTTTTTGTCAGTTTTGATACTAAGTGTATTTCACATTCCAAACTAACAGATTTTATTGTATTTCTTTGTAATCAGGAAAAGGTAGATACCTCTTCCACCATCTCTTCTCTCTTAAGCAATGAATAAATATAAACTTCCTATATATAACTGTGACTTATCTTCTTCCAGTAATCTCCACATATCACAATGGAATGTGAATTCTGTCAGATCAAGATACGCGGACATTTGTTATGTCCTTGACAATTTAAAGATGGACATTATGTGCTTAATTGAAATAAAGATCTCTGACGATGTTCCATGCAGATTCAATAATTATAAATTCATAAGAAAGGGCCGCTCTAATCATGGTGGTGGTCTTGGATTCTTGATTCAGAACAACATTAACTTTAAACATACATCCTTCCCCGACGTGGAAAAAATGTGTAAGGACCATGGGGTTGAGATCCATTCTGTTTGCATTAACAGCCTTAAAGGTAAGAATTTGTTTTTAATTGGATTATACGAGGGCGGTCCGATAAGTACTTAGCCTCACCGCCCGATGGCGCCACTATCGCAAGAGAAATTTACTATCGTGTAGTACATTCTCGTAGACGGCTACTGTCGAAATTTCAGCCGAATCGGACCCGTAGTTTTGTTTTGACCGCGTGTGGAAGCAGGCGTGTCTGCGGATTTTAGAAAAATGGAAAAAGAGCAATATCGGTCGGTGATTCGATTCTTGTTTTTGGAAGGGAAATCGCGCAGCGAAATCAAAGAGCGCTTGGATGCTGTGTACGGTGACTCTTCTCCTTCGATGGCGACCGTCAAAAATTGGTTTAACGAGTTTCAACGTGGTCGCACGTCGGTTTTTGATGAGCCACGCCCAGGTGCCCCGAAAACGGCTACCACGGAGGATAACATGACAAAAATCCACGATCTCGTATTGGCAGACCGCCGATTGAAGGTGCGCGAGATAGCTGAGACAGTAGGCATCTCAAAAGACCGCGTGGGTCATATCCTGCATGAAATTTTGGGCATGAGAAAGCTGTCGGCGCGATGGGTGCCGCGTTTGCTCACTCCGGACAACAAGCGCAACCGTGAGACCACTTCAGAGCAGTGTTTGACGCTGTTTAAGCGCAATCAGAAGGAGTTTCTGCGTCGTTTCGTGACCGTCGACGAAACATGGATCCACTGGTACACACCAGAGACCAAGGAACAGTCGAAACAGTGGACTTCACCCGGCGAACGTGCTCCGAAGAAGGCGAAGACTGTCCTATCGGCCGGAAAGGTGATGGCCACCGTTTTCTGGGATTCACAAGGTGTGATCTACATCGACTACCTGGAGAAGGGCAAAACGGTCACAGGGCTGTACTATGCCGAATTATTGGGCCGATTCAACGCCGAATTGCAGAAAAACGGCCCCATTTGGCGAAGAAAAAAGTGCTCTTCCACCTTGACAACGCACCGGCTCACACCTTCGCCCTCGCCACGGTCAAATTGGTCGAATTGGGCTACGAACTGCTGCCCCATCCACCGTATTCTCCAGATTTGGCCCCGTGCGACTTCTTTTTGTTTCCAAACTTGAAAAAGTCACTCGCCGGGCAGAAATTTGAGTCGAATGAGGAGGTCATCGCTGCCACGGAGGCCTACTTTGCAGACCTCGAGAAAACGTATTTTTCAGACGGGTTAAAGAAGTTGGAGCATCGCTGGGTGAAGTGTATCGAGCTAAAAGGAGACTATGTTGAGAAATAAATCGCCACTTTTCCAAAATTTTCGTTTTTCTTTTGTAGGCTAAGTACTTATCGGACCACCCTCGTATACTTGTGTAATGACCGCTTGCAATGCACGATCCATGGTGAAATATGGCATTCTTTATTTTATACAACTGTCCTGCTACTGATATTGATACTTTAGTTGTTGGGACAGCACGCAGAGTAAATTTGTTTATACATATATGTATATAGGGTATTATTGGGTGAGTGCAAAAGTTCGTGCGGAGTTTGTGAGTAAAAGTCACACAGTGATTAGGCAAACAAAAATCTTTATTCAATCAATGATATATTCTCCATCGTTTTCTATAATCTTTTCCCAACGTTCTGGCAGCATACGGATGTCTCGATCATAAAAACTGCGCGGTTTAGATTCGAAGAACGAAGAGACGCCGTTTTTTAAGGCCTCCAAAGAGTCAAAGTTTTTTCCATTTAAATAATTTTGCAATGACCGGAACAAGTGATAGTCAGATGGTGCGATATCAGGAGAATACGGTGGATGCGTTAAGACATCCCATTTCAGGCTCTTCAGTTTGCGCAGCGTCTTTTTCAAAACGTGTGGTCTGGCGTTGTCGTGATGAAAGACGACTCCCTTGCGATTTGACAAAATCGGACGTTTCTCTTTTATTTCTCGATTCAGATTGGTTAATTGGCGACAGTACTTGTCCGAATCAATCGTTTCGCCAGCGGGGAGAAGCTCGAAATAGATTATGCCCTTGCAATCCCACCAAACAGAGAGCATCACCTTCATCGGGTGCAAACTGGCCTTTGGCATTGCGTCACCATGCTCACCTGATTGTTTCCATGTCCGTTTGCGCTGAACATTGTTGTAGAGGACCCATTTCTCATCGCCCGTCACTAGTCGATCCAAAAACGACTCGTTATTGAGCCGCCCGAGTAAAGAAACGGCTGCAGAAATTCGCTTGATTTTGTTCTTCTCGGTCAGCAAATGGCACCCATATATCGAGCTTCAAATCGAATCCCATCTTTTTTAAACGCCGAAAAGCGGTTGATCGGTCAACGTTTAGTGAGTAGTAGCAACTTCTTCTGTTGAAATTCGCGGATTATTGAGCACTAAAGTACGCAAAACATCGTCATCAATGTCAGAAGGTCGACCAGAGCGTGGCTCGTCTTCAAGGTTAAATTCTCCGCGCCGAAATTTAGCAAACCATTTTTCCACAGTTCGTTTAGCTGGTGCTTCATCCTGATAAACATCCTGAATGTTTTTTACGGCTGCGGCAACGTTTATTCCCTTCCGAAACTCGTAAAGCATAACATGCCGTAAATGCACCTTATCGATATTCATTTTTAAAGTGATATTTCTCGAAGCAGTTTGTATGAAAACAAATGATTTTTTTTTTAATAATAGCTGAAGACGTCACCTTTCCAACGTTTAATATGTAGATGGAAGTATTAATGACAACACTTTACGACGCTTATAACTCCATCTATTGAAACTCCGCACGAACTTTTGCACTCACCCAATAGAAAAGTCTGAAAACGGTCAAATATCTCGAAAATAGAACGTTTCTGAGCAAAATGTTTCCAATCAAAGTTGTAGTGTTTTAAAAGTTCTATTGAATGATGATATCCATTTGACCTTGCGTAAAGCGATTACAGCGAGGTCGAGGCCAACATAATTTTTTTAAATGGAATATCCAACTTTTTATCACACAGTGTTAAAGATGACAGCGAGACATTTCCAAAATATTACTTGATGATCTATTTTTGTTAAGAATTGTCTGAGTTATGAGCTTTAGAATTTACGGTGACGCCAATAATAATATTATCCAGGATGTACCGTGTGGAGGTTGTATAGTCTAACTTTAGACCCCTGGACTAACCCCCCTCCTCCTGTGTGTGTGTGTGTGTGTGCGTGTGTATGTGTCAGCAAAAATAAGGTTCGTCCCTCCGCGGCTCGTCACTACCGCAGTATTTAATGACTCCAAACCCTCTCTGCTATGTGTGTGTGTGTGCGCGCGCGCGCGTGCGCGTGTGTATGTAGACGGGTTTTTATTGAATTAAGTGTTCAAATTGTCTTCCGTCTGCTGCTTGACAATAACCTTATCGTAGATGAAATTCATTAAAAATGTTTCATCTTATTTCTGGTGAAATAAGATTTACTTGGTGCAGTATGTGTTCCCTAAGGTCTGCTAAGTTAGCAGGTTTCGTTCCGTACATATTGTTTTTAACATATCTCTATAAGAAGTAGTCCAATGGAGAAAGATCTGGTGATCTAGAGGGCCACTCTATTTCTCCACATCTTGTTATCCATCGGTTTGGGAAAGTATCAGTTAAAAATTGACACACTACTACTGCATATCCTTATCTCTGCTGACATACACACACACACACACACACAGGGATGTGTAAAGTCCGACCATGCAACCTCCACGCGGTATATCCTGAATAATACTAATGCTGGCGGCACTGTAAATTCTAAAGCTCATAATTCAGACAATTCTCAACAAAAATAGGTCATCAAGTAGTGTTTTGGAAACGGCTCGTTGTCATCTTTAACACTGTGTGATAAAAGATTGGATGTTCTATTAAAAAAAATCATGTTGGCATTGACCTCGCCTTGACTCCTCTACTTAAGGTCAACCGGATATGATCATTCAATAGAACTTTTAAAACCCTATAACTTTAGTTGGAAACATTTTTCTTAAAAATGTTTCGTTTTCGAGGTATTTGACCGTTTCCAGACTTTTCTAACTAAAGTGATATGGTCCATTATCGATGATTTTATTAAAAAATTTTTCGAAAAAAAGTTGCATGGCTTGAAGGACGACACATGACGGAAATATGGACTTGACCTTGAGTGACCTTGTCAAAATCAGGCCAAGGTCATTAATGTTTTTTTAAATAGAAACTACAATTTTTTATTACATATTCTTGTAGCTTATCTCAAGAGCTTTCCAAAACACTCTAACAAAGTTACATTTCATTGAGTACTTTCCGAGTTATGAGGCTTGGAAGTTAAGGCAAGACTGATCACTGATCCGACCAATTAAAGCAAGATCAATTCGAATATGTCTTTACCCGTTAATAAGTCTTGGTCTTAGAAGTACAAAATAAAACCTCCTTGCTTTTATTACAATATCTTGCAAGTTAACAAATATTCTTCACACATACAAACATAGTATTATTATATTTTTATTGAGTAGTGCACTGAACAACTATGACATTGTTCTGAGAGTTTTCTCATTTAGAGTGACGAAACAAATATATTTTATGAATTTTTTTCGCGCAGATAGAAAATTTCACGGATGTAATTGTTTTTGGAAATTATTTAATACTGTATGAAAAATATTTATTAACTTACGGGATATTGTAATAAAAGCAAAGAAGTTTCATTTCGTACTTCTTGATTCTGTTACAATATTCTTTTATATTTCATACTACATCCTTGTATAACTTAAAATTATTCTTAAAATATTATTAAACAATTAAATAATCAAACCTATGAACCTGCTCCGCAAAACCGACTCCGCAAAATAATTAATAAAATATATTTCATTTTCTTGACGCCGAATATTATTAAACTATTACAAATAATATTACAAATGATATAAATTTTTACAAATAAAATTTGTAAAAATTTGTATTATTTGTAACATTATTATACAATTACAAATAAAATCACAAATAATAATATTACAAATAATATATATTACAAATAATAATATTATTAATAATAAAATATTATTTGTAATAATTTCGGTGCGCCGAGTAGGCAAAACTTTCAGTATTGTCATAGAGAGGAAAGGAGAGAGAGAGACAGTCGCGCCCGCGATTCAGATTATGGGTAAGAAAGAATTAGGCTCGCTCGCTGAGCGAGAGCGACAAGGAGGGAATGATATTCTCTCTCTCTCGCTCGTTCGGCGCGTCGACAATTGCCGATCGCGTGGCTCACACGGATTGACCGAGCTGACTGTGTGCGTATATGGGGGGGAGGAGGAGAATCCTCGTGCAAGCCCGTCACCAAATTCGCATCACTGATACCAATGATGTCAAAACCGAACAAGCTGCGGACAAGCGTAACTTGTAAATACCGGAGATCAACTATTTATCAGCTCATAGACAATTAATATGACGAGATACCCGCGGAGACCCGTGTACTTCTCTTTCGTCTTTGCGTACAATTGCGATCAATAAAAAATTTTCACGAATTGTTCGGTTTTGACATCATTAGTATACGTGTGTACGTGTGTGTGTATGTGTACACGTACAATTGCGATATACACTTATCACGTTAGCATTGATCATTTTTATTCATGCTAAAAGAAATAAGTATGATTATGTAAAGAATTTGTCTGCGTATTATTATACATTCTAGATAGTTCTCCCTGTGATAGTAAAAATGACACACTTGAATAACCTCTATGCTCATATCACAAAGCCTGATCCACTGCGCTACTGAAGCAAATTGGTAATTCTTCTGCTATAACGACATTAACAGAAAAGATTAAACTTCAAACTGCATTTCTCAAAAACGTTTAAGATTTGCACCGTTATTGGGTAGCATTTGTTACTATTACATCAATATTATACTTTTCTAAAAGCAAAATCACGCGGTTATTTCAAGGATGAAGATTCCTCTTGTGTGAGATATTAATTATTCATTCTTTATTAATGGGAAAAGATTTTCCTTTGATTTAAATGTTCATGAAAAGTTATTTGTTCTCTGAGAATCTTTCAATTTTTATGTTCGCGAAAAGTTTATAAAATTCGTAAAGAAAAAAAGTTATTTTAGTACCTACCTGTTCAAGAGTTGCGCATAAGAGATATTTTAACAAATCTGAATTTGAATCAGTCAACAAATTAAATTTTTCATTCAAAGAAGCATATGTATATAGGGTAAGCATAAGTAAGATAAGTATAAATAATAAATTAAATATTATTCTCTGAATATAATAATAAGTAAATGTTTTTTTCTTTAGCCGAATCATCGAAGTAAATATTCTATTATAAATTGACTTTTCGGATTACAATATTAATTTGATTTTTCAGAATACGCTTTTAAATTGACTCTTCGAAATACGCTATTAAATTGACTTTTCGGAGTACACTTTTAAATTGACTCTTCTGACAACACATTTGTTAGTTGACTCTGTGGAGTACATATTTTTTAATTAACTCTTCGGAGATAAGAGAAGAGAAACATTTTGATTTTTTATATTTTATTTAAATATCTTAATTTTTGCAGAAAACTGATTGATAAAGAAAAAAATTAATTCACGACCTCAACGAAGATCTTAAAAAAATTACTGCAAGAAATGAAGTTGTTGTTATTATATACCATATTGTACAATATTAAAACATACGCGCAATAATTATCTATAATTTGCATATATGGGCGTTTATGTAATTATAAGTAATATAAAAATCATGACAAATTAATGTGGTCGCGCGTTATCTCTGTCGCGTCATTGCTAGAAATCGTCCGAACTCTCGAAATTATTTTCTTCCCGAATTATGAATATAAAACAATGTGGAAAGGAATACAAGGGGGTGAAAGGGGAGACGGCGACGTCTACCTTACGATAACATTGCTGCTGGCTCGCTTCGTCGCGATTGTCTATTCGCTGGTGATGAGACAAAGACCGATTCTTCGTTTTTATCTAAAGCCAGCGGCACACGGTGCTTGTTTTCGTGTTAGATTGCTTGCTGGATGAAAATACTGCGTTCTGATTGGTGCATTTTCATCCATCTTCAGAAATATACCAATCAGAACGCAGTATTTTCATCCAGCAAGCAATCCAGCACGAAAACAAGCATCGTGTGCCGCTGGCTTAACTAATCAGTGCTGCGATTTTGTAACTCGTTATTGGAGTTAACGACAGTTTCGTTATTGTTGCGCAGCTTTTATACGGTATACAAAAGCTGCGCAACGATAACGAAAGTGTCGTTAACTCCAATAACGAGTTACAGAATCGCGGTACTAGTTCGCTTGTGAACATAGCATAGAACAGAACCAAATAATTATGGACATAGCATGGAATAGTACCAACAAATCGTGGACATTGGCTTAGTAGTTCATGTCCATGAAAAATGGACCCAGTTAGCGCTTCGAATCAGCCAACTTTTCCATAACGCTGTAAATGCAGCCATGCCCACTCTCAGGCTTCTCTCTGGCTGGTGCTCCAGTACCGCGATTCTGTAACTCGTTATTGGAGTTAACGACACTTTCGTTATCGTTGCGCAGCTTTTGTATACCGTATAAAAGCTGCGCAACAATAACGAAACTGTCGTTAACTCCAATAACGAGTTACAGAATCGCGGTACAGGCGGCGTTGAAAATAGCGTTCCCCTTTTCACAAGAGATGAGTTTGAACCCCCAGCGGCGCGATTCTTTAACTCGTTATTGGAGTTAACGACACTTTCGTTATTGTTGCGCAGCTTTTGTATACCGTAGAAAAGCTGCGACAACGAAACTGTCGTTAACTCCAATAACGAGTTAAAGAATCGCACCACTGGGCTGTATTCTGTACTCGCGTACCGATAGTTATCGGTGTCGTTAGCAGTATTGCGCAGCTTTTTTGTTATATGAAAAACCTGCGCAATAATGACACCGACAACTATCGATATGCAGGTACGGAATACAGCACCGTGGTGCGATTCTTCAACTCGTTATTGGAGTTAACGACAGTTTCGTTATTGTTGCGCAGCTTTTCTACGGTATACAAAAGTTGCGCAACGATAATGAAAGTGTCATTAACTCCAATAACGAGTTACAGAATCGCGCCGCTAATGTGAATGCGCTCTCATTCTCCAGACGCGCATGTCCGGCATTAAATACAACTATTTAATTTTAACCATTATTTTCTTATTAACATATGAAAGATTTGCACCTAAGAATTAGAGGCATTTTTTTAATGTCTGCTATTGATCTATAGCAGTAAGTGTATATAAAATATATAAAAATATACATACAGATTTTTAAACACAAAGGAGAATCAATCAGGAAACGATTATTGGAATCTTTCTTCTAGATATTTAAAAAAAGATCTTTATTAAACAAATACAAATTATCCTTTATGTTCTTAGGACTACACAATTTACAAAGCAGTTACAGCAGTTTTTGTATTCTTTATTTTACCATCATCACAGTGGAACTCGAAATTATATAACATAGCAAAAATTTCATTGTTCACTAAATATATTGGAGAAAAAGAAATTGCATAGATTCATATATTTAAATCTTCTTAATATTGCAACGCTGTTCCATTTAGATTACAAACTTGCAAACTTATTTTATATAGTGGAAGAAAAGACATTCCTGCGTGCTATAAGTAAACGTTTGTCATGTTAATTTAAAAGTGAATATACTACGCATAATTTTTGTTCGAGGAAGATTGCGTGACGCTTACAGTATCGACACTGGTCGATATTACATTATTTCGATACAATAGGGATTATATAAAGATCATCTTTACAATAATATAACACGAAATACGATCTATTCGCTACAATTAGAATCTTCAAAAAACCTAACTTCCAGTTGAGAATAATACCTCACTGTTCGTTGGTAGACCCACTGTTGGTAACTTCTCTTCCAATTCATTCACATTCTGTTCTCACTCAGCCGGTTCATGCAATTTACATAATCTCTCTATTCTTTCCATTCATCTTCGCACATCTTCGTAACCTGAAAAAAGAAAAATAAATCATGATTATAGCCTTGCTGATTAAATGATTTCTGATGAAATCTCGTACATTGATATACTTACGTTACAGAATTCAGCTAGGTTCTTGTCTTTGCATATGAAAGACTTACCCCATGTGCATTTTTTCTCATTAATCGATCGTGACACGCGTGAACTAACGTTTAATGACACCATGGCGTATTCATCCCTAATGCACAAAGCAACTTCGTCGCATATCTTTTCACTGTTTACGTGATTTTTCAACATATGTATTATACTCGGCCCATAAATTTTCACCATCGTGTTACACTACAAATTTGAATCCTAATTAGAAACAGTTCTTAAGAAACGATATAGTTTCCTGTTTGTGGAAATAACAATATGACAATATAATTACCATGTTGTATTTATACGGTAATAGATGCTCACACGCATTGGAAACAGCATCTTCAATTTTAGCGTCAACTCTTGGATCATCTAGATCATGATCAATTTGCGATATAACTGCTCGACATAGGCCACATTCCATTATAGATTCTGTAAAAGCATATTAAATAAGTCAGGCTTGTCTTTTCGTATGTATATATACAGAGTGTATATGTGATTTGAAATCTTTTAGAAACGAAAAATTGTAAAGATTAATCAGATCAAACTGAGAAGAAAAGTCAAGTACCAAATTGCAATAGTTATTAACGATTGAAAATGACCATATATAGATATAGAAGCTCTTTTAATTGATAACTTAAAAATTTGCTTACATATTTACAAAATAGTAAAGGACTTTTATGTTCAGAATGACCTAATCCACAATTATATGACGGCTATTGTGTCTAGCAATAGACATGAAAATATAAAACTTTGAACCCTGCATGTTGAACCTGTCGCTAGACACAATAGCTGTCATATAACTGTAGATTGGGCTATTTTCAACAAAAAAGTTCTTTACCATTTTGCAAATTAATATGTAAACTTTTCAAATTATCAATTAAAAGAGCTTCTAGATATGGTCATTTTCAATCATTAATAACTTAATAACTATTGCGATTTTTGCAAAATAGTACTTTTCTTCTCAATTTGATCTTAATAATCTTCACAATTTTTCGTTTCCAAAAAATCCCGGACATCTTGCATATATATTGATTAGTTATTAATTGACATGTTCGCTACTGCAGCAATTGGAAAATAATTCACCACAGACCATTCTATATTTTTTCTGTAATAATGTAAAATAATTCGTACAGTGAAATTTTGCCACTATCATGCATATACAATGTCAATCTCATATGAGAGATCAATATCACATGTACGATGCTGGTAGCGTGAGCAAATCTGCTAATTATATATTAATTATATGGAGTATCTGATGTAAAACATAACTCATGTTTTTTTAAATCAATGTATGTATATACATACCTTTAACATGTGGTACGCTATTCTTACAAAGATTCATCATGACACAGACCTCTTTAGGAGTAACGTCTTGTGATAAAATAGTTATTACAACATCAGCATACTTATCAACAAATTGATTGCACTCTGAGGCAAGTGACTTTGGTAGATGATTGCATACACCGTGTACCATCTTCTCAAGTTTTTCTCGCGTCTTTTCATTACCAATTGCTTTGTCGATATACTGCATCGCGTATTCGCAAACTATACACATTCCGTTATCAATTAGATTTTTTGGTTCTGTGGAGGTTAACGGATAGTCGGGTATCTCATTAGTAACTGAAATGTGTAAAGAAGATAAATCATTTCCAGTAAATATTTCTGTAGTTGATTTATTATATGATGTGCTGCGCCATAAGTTGCTTATGAACATTTAATGAAAACAACTTACGTATCTCTCTATCTTTTTCAATGGGAGAAACCTGCCTTGGACCAACGTCTTTGGTCGAATCACACAATTTAAGATAAGTACATATTTCTTGAGGTGTCAAATCTGCTAGTAGCAACTCTACGAGCTCTTTGCTATATTCCTTCACAAAATCGGTACATTGTTCAATTAAGCTATGTGGTAAGTGCATACACAATTTATCTAATTCAGCTTCGATGGTAGCCTGTTACATAATTATATAATTTGCACGAATGAATGAGTTGTATATATATACTTAAATTATTATAAATATGATCAACAGTAGATTAGCACCTCAGTTTTGTTATTCTTGATAATATCGTAAATTTGTGTCACTGCTAGAAGACAAAGAGGACAATTTGGCTTATCCTGCACCTCCTCATGAACAAATCTACGAGGAATTTGCTCCCACATTTGCAATAATTCTTTCGACGGGCAAATATGTATCATCGGGCATACCTTCAATAATTGAATAGTAATTTACGCTTCACTGACTTTACGTATAAATATGTACTTACTTGTGAAGGATCGATTTGTTGAACGAGTATGGCTACAATCGCGTCTCCGTAAATATCTATAAATTCTTGACACTTGTTCTGAATGCTAAGTAACTTCTTACACATTTTCCCAAGAATTTGCTTGACCTTTTCCTGGAAATTTAATATATATTTGTAAGTGTATCTTCTTTTATATGTTAAGTTATTTGATAAATTACTAGAGATTTCCATGAAACATTCCAAATCAATACTTTCATAGTCATACAATTTTATCTTTTTTTATTTCCTTTCTGTGATATGCCATTAAAAAGGTAAATATAATATTTAACAAAGTTATGTTTAATTATAAAAATATCGGCCTTAAATTTTTCGCAAAATTTCCTACAAATTTATTAAACATTCCAATATTTATATATGGTGTTCTTGGAATTTAAATATTTTTGTTACACTTTATATTTATTGTGAATTTATTTATAACATATTTCATTAATAATTTAATTTGCTTAAATTTTATAGAATTACCGTATTAATAATTTAATTAATATTTATTTAATATCTTTTATCATTTATTTTGAGATATTCTTTAAGTTCTTACCTCGGTAACAGGATTTGAAATAGCATCTTGTATATAATGCAATAAATATTCACACAATGCACATGCTTCCTTTCCTTCAACACCTTCAACTTGCAATAGAGGGAATGATACTAGTCTTTCCAATGGCAATTGCATCTCTTCAACTTCCGATTTTGGACGCTCTTGACCGATAGTGACTTCAACTTCTCTTTCATGTTGGTTATTATTCATTACGCTTAATCCTAACCGTGCAGATTCTTCTGATACTAAAGGCCAAATTGGTCCCTGCATTTATAAAATATGAGATTTATTTTATCTGTTATTATGTACTACCCATCAAATACGCGTATTATATCATTTATAAAATTGAATAAAACATATCATATTACCTCCATCTTGCCTGGAGAAGGACAAATTCCAGTCATTTGACAGACAATATTGCTATTTAATCCTTTAGTTAGATATTCGTAAATTTGTGTATAATATTGATCAACTATGGCCTGACACTAAGAAAATAATTTTGTTATTCTATTAAACTTTTATATTTTATTGTATAAAATTATGTAAATTATATTTACATAATTATATATTATATAATTATTATGTAAAATGATATATGATTCTTATTAAAATCACAAACCTCGTCGCTAAAAGATTTTGTTTGCTTGCAGAGACCTACGAGAATATGCTTAAATTCTATTTCTGTTGTATTCGCAACCAGAAGATCCCTCAAGTGACCTACAAGTTGCTCGCACAACTTGCATGGTAAATCATCATCAACTTCTACCATGCCCACACTCGACAACGGTGTTATCTCTACTTTTGGAATCTAATTATCATATAAAATATATAATTTAATATATAATTATATTTAATATAGTTTCTAGCTGCTCAGTAGGATCGAAATACTTACCGCATTGGTATTATCCTCATGTTTATGGTATTTGCTGCTGCATTGTCCAGACAGATGACATAAACTATCTGCATTAAAATTCTTCAGTATATGTTCGTAGATGTCGTTAAAATGAGACATAATAATATCAGAACAGGCATCAGAAAAAGAACTAAATTCGCCACATATATTTAACATCCGCAAAAGCATTGAGTCGCGTGATGTATGTTGCATCTTATTTTCCATATGCTTTGCTATCGTGTAACATTTACTACACTCATCAGGTTCAAGCTCGTCATCTTTCAATACAATCGACTTTGTTCTGCTCTTCTAAAGATAAAACATGTTCTTTGATCAACAATCGCAGTTATAAATTATACAGAGATAAAATTTAATAGAGTACACATGAATTGTTGCAAAATTAGATGTGATAAAAGAAAAAAAAACCACATAGTTTTATCTTTATATAATTATGAAAACAAATCGCATTTGATTTTCTATTTTTGATAAACCATATATATATATAATACTAAATAATAATCATATAACAATATGCAAATATGTACATATATATTTTATATAAAATATGACACACATAAAGATATGCATGAGTGTCACTGAGCAGATGTTATTTATGACAATAAATTCTAACAATCTAATCTCGTTAATTATATTTAAAAATTGTTAATGTACACATAATTGGTACATGTGTTAATGAATCACTCAATGATGATTGAGACAATTAGATTATTTTGAGCAATAACATTTATGTAGTTTTTGTTCAGTAGAAATAGACAAAGAGGAAACGAAAATTTTTATGGAATTCATAGGTTGATTTAGATAATTAAATTTTACCTTCAACAGCACTGCTTGATGTTCAGCAAGCAATTTGTCAATATGTGCATTATTACAGAGTCCTGCGACAGAACAAACTACAGATGGATTCATCTGAGATGCTAATGTTTCTACAAGTTCAGGAACAAATTCATCCACAATTTTGATGCATTCATCGACAATTGGTTTGATGTGAATAAGTTTACAGCTACCCTCAAAGACATCTTTCAAGTCTTGTTGAGTCTGATTACTCTCTAATTGATCACGCGCTTGTTGCACCATATCTTTACAAATTCCACATACACTGTCAGTATCCTCCGGGACTTCCATCTGTTTCCAATATTGTTGGATACAATGCTTCACAGCGCCACATCCCTTGGCTGTCCTGTTATTAATATTTATAGTTATATTATACCATACCAATTATTATACTAACTAATTATACTAATAATAAAAATTTAATCACAACTAGCAAGATATAATGTATATGAATTTTACAGACGAAAATTTATATTTTAATAATTGCATTATATTATAAATATATAATAAAATATTTTAAAGAAACTTATAAGTTAGATTTGATATTTTTTAACTTACTGACATTAAAAGTTATTTTTCATTTTTTGTTTGGTTTTTCCATATGTAACTGAAAATATAAATAATTATGAACACTTACTTTAGGTTTTCACACCAATAACTTGGACCCCATGTACATTCATCTTTACCCAAAAGAGAATGACTATTTTGTGGTTCAGCTGTTATAATCACATTAGCTGTAGATACTGGAAATGAATAAAGTGCATTCAATATGATATTCAGCAATATACATAAGTTGTATATTCTTTCAATCATAAAATAAAATGTTTGATAATACTTCAAATTATCATCATTAGCTTATTATAACTTTTAACAAGTTATAGTATAATTAACATGTTTCATGCCATGGAAATTTTATGTAACTTTTAACTCACATTATTTAAATTATTACAAAACACATTATTTAAATTATTACAAAATGACTCATTTTGTTCTACAAATGTATGACAATATATTTTACTATCTTTTCATAACAGAAATATCTATAGCCGTGATCTATAGTGATAAAACTTGTTTTCTTTATATAGAAGTCTGTTCTTCATAACTATGTTTTTTATATGAATTATTTTATATATTCTTTTTATTCTTTTCTCTGTTTCACTAAGAGTTAAGTATGTATCTATTTTATTTCAAGTATAAGCTATATAACTTAATATGTCTATAGAGACATATGCATAAGTCTGAATAAGTAACTAAACTTTGAATATATTTATAATAAGGATGAAAAGATATGTAGATATAGATATAGAAATATTGACTTTTAATTTTTATTTTATAAATTCGACAAAGATTACTGGTATGATTCAAACTGCACATATATGTTAAATACAAAAAGATATCAAACGTCTTTTTGAAATATTTTAATTTTTGGTATTATATTCCCATTGTATTGCGAAACTGCAGAAGCAACTCAACAATATGAGACTTGCTAAAGTGAAATCTTTTGCGAAAACATGATTATGGTGAAATTGATAAGTATATGCAATATTATCAGTGACGTTATTAACGTGCATTTGCAACATAATGATATTCAACTTATATTGACAAATTATATGTTCCAATCGACTGAGTCATCTTACTTGTCTTACAAACTAAAGTTCCTTCGCAATGAGTAATGAAAACGTGATTAGCCGGCGACGCAAAAGAGATGAAACATTATAGCGCGACGGAAGAGGAGCTGGAGGAAAAAGAGGAGCGAGCGAGTAGACAAAAGAGAGGAACACGAACCGGAATTCCATCGCGGAACATCGCGGTGGAGGAGGAAGAAAATCGATGAAATCCGAGGCCATATGTATAAATATTAGCGCTTAATTCAGCTTAAGTAATATATTTACAAAACAAAGATAAAAAAAGATGAAACATCGAACGGTTATCAAATGAAAACATTCTAGGAAATGCGCATTAAAAAAAGGAGAATGTCATCAACGACATAGAATATATAAATAAATAGCGTCATCCGGCAAAAACAGGATCATGAACAAAGAAAATATTCGAGACTGCGTCAATCGTTGATATATATCAGTTGTCACGAGCAACTTACCAGCTAGAAACGCGCTGAACACGAATAAAAGCTCCTTCATGTTCTCGCGATAGTTCGACTTTTCACTGCCAGATCCAGCTCGACGCAACGACACGCGAAAGGATCCTTGTAATTTTTCCGTGCACGATAAATGGAACAGTAGCAATTACAAACACAACTGAGACACAGTGCCAATATCACCAGCACTAACAGTGAGCACAAGCGATGACTCGTCGACGATGTCCGTCATTTCCACCAGAAACGTGTGTTGCTATATGCATTCAGCTTTTTGCGCATGCGCATGTTACGTTATCTCACTGAAGTATTTAATGCTGAACGAACTTAGGATGTTGTAAATTTAAAGTGACAAAATATCATACAATTAAACGTTTAATCAAATATAAAAGTCTATGACTGTTAATTATTAGAGCAAAAAGGTTTTCAAAGTATCTTATAGATCTGCATGATCAATAGTCACTTTATCATCAATAATCACTTTATAGACATCATTTTATTTTAATGTTTATTTTAATGTTTTTAATTTCGCAAGAATTTTGAATTATCGAAATTAAAATTTTAATCAAGATGGATGTGATAAGGGATTAGGAGCTTGAGAACCTTGTATTAAAATTTAACAAATTGAATATCATGATGGTCATCGAGATGTGATTGGTGATTAAATATATTTATTAATTACTCACACAGAAAGTTGCAACAACATTGTTGCAATGTTACAAAAAAATATATACAAATCGAATTATATATATTTATTATATTTTTGATAATTCAATTATTGGTTAAGTTTCTGTACAATTAACAAAATCAATACGGCAGTCAATGTGTTAAACATTTCTCAATTTTAGGAACTTAGATTAGAAAATTTCAAGTGAAAAGTAGAAAATTTATAAAGTAAAATTATAAAAATATATTATATTCTTTCAAAAGTTTAGGTCAGAATATTTTAATTTTAGGTGCTATTTATTTATTTATTTGTAATTTTATACTTATTTGAAGCTCAGGAAAATTTATATATATAAAAAATATAAAAAATTTGAAGGTGGAAATTCGAATTAAAATCCAAGATTTTAAACAAAGCTTTTGAAAACAACTTAAGCCTAAGGAGCAGGGTAAATTTGTTTCATGTATTTTACTGAAATCATTCCAATGCGCTTGCGTAGAAAAGGCTGATTTATTGTCAGAATGTACGTTCATATCGGCGCAATTTTACGATGAGGATAAAATAATCACTTCTTTGACGGCATTATTACTAATAATACTACGTCAAACGGTAAATATTCTTATACAACAACTTAAAGTTGATTTAATAACATCTGTAATTTACATTTATATAAATAGCATAAAACTGATATAACAATTTCTTATGTTGTAGGTTTTACATGTCATATAAACCATTATATTACAATTATGTTCTACACACAACATGCAACGCAAAAATTTGCAACATCGAAAATTATTAAATCCATTTTATGCTTATCATGTAAATGTTGACTATGGTATCTCTATGGATGTTGTTAAGAACATTTTCATAATATTCTGCTAACAGTATTCGTCTCAATATCACTAACTTATTTTAACTTATATTTTAACAATATCTCTTTTTTTAATAATATTTCAATATTAACATTCCATGTGGTTCTTTGCAATTTTATGTTCAATTAAATCCAATTTACTTATACACGATGTGTTTAATAGACATAAATGTGTCTTGAATTTCCAGACACCTTATATAACCTAATAGTTACATGAGATCCTACTACTAGATAGAGTTACCGTATTCTTTTTTTCTTTTCTACAGAAAGGAAAATGTTTTTTACGAAGTATAGATTGTTGTAATTTTTAATAATAAATAAATTTATTTCATCAGTGAATTTTTTAAGCTATTGTTTGCTACTAGATACAATAGTTAATATGCTTAAACGTACTTCATTGTGCCTAATGGTATAGATATGCGTATACATACATACATACATATGCACGCGTACAAGTTATCGGCAATAGTTAATAACATGTTCATGTTTTCGTTCTCGTTTGCCGTCTATGTCGGAAAATTCATGAAAAAAATATTGTAATATAAAAAAATCTTCGTTTCATTCGTCAAATTGCTTCATCGTGATAAGATATACATGAATTTGTTAATGTGCATGCCTCGGCTGCATAAATTAGTTCTTATTCTTTTGGCAATGAGTCGAACTTCGTTCGATTTATTTCCGTCCACGGAGACAACTCCCCGAGTTGGTCCTTGAAGTCATGTGACGTTCCGTGTGGAAAATTTCAGATTACTATCGTTAAAAATAATTTTACACCGTACATGTTGCACATTGCGAAATCCATAGCAGAATAACATTAACGTATGAAAGTAAAATGAATTATACTGGTAATAAATAACGAAACCTCCTGGTGAGCGAATGTCTCTTATTTGAATCCGAGAATGTTGTGTTTGTGGTATGAGTACGCGCTACGACGTCCACAATGTTTTGAGTGCGTGGTTGCGATACCAGCTTTTTCCTGACACGAAGGTCGATTTTAATCGTTGATAAACCAATGATCGACAACCAAGGAATCAGCAGATTAAAATATTTATAGCACACAATCGATTCTTCATATAACGATTATTTATGTAAATAACTCATAACAGAGTACTTGTATGCTTTTATCGACATTGTATTGTTTATTACATGTTATCTGAATTTTTAAAGGACTTTGTTAAGCTCTAAGATGTATTTTTTTCTGTTTTTCATTCTCTAAATAAAATGTCACACATTGAAAATTGAGGTATGAAGATCTTGCGATATTAATATAATTCAAATGCATGCGCAAATTATATAAGTTGAGTTTTTGCTCGTGTTTTAACTTTTTACTATGCAATACAGATTATCGACGGCAGTTGTACTATTGAACGACTGTGCGGAAATTCCTCGCGGAAATTCCTCGCGCGCTTCTTATCTTCACATGATAATGCGAAATAGAAGCAAAAATACAGCATATTGATATTTAATCAGTCTAATTAAATAACATTGTGTACACCAGAGTATGTGCAAAGGCAGCAAAATACTTATGGAATAAAGGCGTAATTATATTTAGTATTTATATCTAGTATATTTTTATTCCATAAATAAAAATATTCTGCTTCAAATATGTATATTCTAATATATGTACACAGTTATTTAATTAGACTGATTAAACATCAGTATGTATTTTATTTTTATTTTTATTTCGCATTATCACATGAAGTGTGTAGAAATAGAAGCGCGCGAGATCATCTTCACACTGCTCGTTCAATTACAAATGCCATCGCAATAATTCATATAGCATGATAAATAATGATAATGAAAATTGAAACACGAGCCAAAACTCACAGTGCATATATGACTTCATCACTACTTTCCAGACAGTTTCAGACTTGAAGTGACTTTTTTTAATGTTCTTTGTCAGCAATAAACATTGAGTAAGAATGTGTAAATATATATTCTATAATATATAAATATATTGAAAATTTGAATTAATGGGAAACTATATAGTAGAACCATTTCAACAACAAGTTTCCGTGGTGTAGTGGTTATCACATCCGCCTAACACGCGGAAGGTCCCCGGTTCGATCCCGGGCGGAAACATTTTTTTTCTATTTCATTTATTATTATTTGAAAAATTACTGATTAATCAATAGTCAAACCGATCAATTTTGGAAAATTTTCAAATTTATATTACACTAGAAGTTTTCTTCTTCGACTATAATGAGCTTGAAATATATTACAATTTAAACCAAAGTAAGTTACAGATCTTCCAATGTATGCAGAGTTTTACAGTTTACAAGCAATGTTTATAGTTCATCAATATCGACAATTTTCGTGATTCCTCCGGGTGCCGTCAATCACTGGCATCAAACTTACAATCTTTAAAATATCCAAACCAGTATTGGTACGTGTTATGAGATACAACTCCTTCACTAAGAACGCAATAAATCGATTTACATATTTTGTAGCAGTATTTTTTCTTTGTTGGAACTCATCGAATGCAATAGCGAATATAGCTTAATACAGCTTATCGTCAGCCATCGTGTTTACTACACTTGAGATTGTAATTATCGCAGCCTTATGTTGTACGATGTTTAGAATATTTTAATTTCAATATTACAAATTTGCAAAAGGGTGTGAAAATATTTCACGTTTAAAAAAGTTTTTCAAGATCATAAAGAAGAGAGGGAGAGAGAGAGAGAGAGAGAGAGAGAGAGAGAGAGAAGAGAAAGGAGGGAGGAAGAAAGAGAAACAATCATATAAATAAGAAGATAAACAAGAAGGTGAACAAAAATGGAAAAGATATAAATGTAAAAAATAGATAAACGAGAAGAAATTTAAAATGAATCAAAATTTATTTGGTTTATATATAAGATAAATCAAATTGTACGTAATTGTAAGTAATTATTTCAAAACTAGGAAAGAATTTTTCTATTCGGTTTAATCTCTTCTTTCTATACTCAATCAATTGGCCATGTTTCTTCTGTATATATTACTTACCTTCGATAGTACATACAGGCTGATTCAAACGTTCTAATGACACAATAGGATTCAATTGAATTGGTAGCCTTATATTCTTTTATCGACAATATTATAAACATAAGAGTCATGCTTTCTTAATATAAACTGTCATCAATAATACGGTAGCCGTTACTCTCAATAACAATATAATTTAACGTAACATCACATATGTATATATAGGGTCTGCCAAAAGTTCCGGAAGGGCTAATTATTTGAAAAAATAATGATTATTTAAAATAATGTTTGAAACAAAAGTAGAGCTTAAAAGAAGCTATCAGATATTGATAATTGTTTGACTTTGGAGTGACCTTGAGAAACGTTATCAAGGTCGACATAAAAATCTTAAATAGAAACTCCAACTTTTTATTACACCATCTTCTTTCACAAATTAATTTGAACAACTTTTGTCTGAAACATTTTTTCATTTGCCTAATATTTTTTTAGATATTTAAGAAGAACCTGATAACTTTTTCAATATTTAACTTACAATATCTCACTATTTGTCAGAAGAAAAAGTGGTACTAGACTTTCTCAAGGTCACTCCAAAGTCAAACAATTATCAATATCTGATAGCTTCTTTTAAGCTCTACGTTTGTTTCAAACATTATTTTAAATAATCATTATTTTTTCAAATAATTAGCCCTTCCGGAACTTTTGGCAGACCCTGTATATACATATGTGATGTTACGTTAAATTATATTGTTATTGAGAGTA